CATTTTAGTGATTCTCTGCTCAGCAGGCTCCTTCTATTAACTGACCAACTGCAGTCACAGCCGTGTGGACAGAGTGCTTCCCCTTTAGGTCTAATGGTGCACACTTTGAATTGGCCGTGTGAGCCGCTCAAGTTGCACAAGTGTAGTGTGATAGATTCACACCTCATAGAATAATATTTAAGAATTTGTCCTAAAATAGCTATTCTCTGTTATCCCTTCCAGTGGAGGCCCTCACTCAGGCTGACTGCATAGTGCTGTTCTGAGTTTCAGGTCCCTCGAGATTCAGCTCTCAGGAGCAGGCTTCAGTCCTTCCACAAGGGCTGAGCTCTGAGTTTTGGAAATCTAGACTTTCCAAAACAGGTGGCACACTAGGCCCACAAGAAGTTCTGTGAAAATAGGGTTCCTTAAATAGGTGAGTGTGGGAAACTCTGCACTGTATGTTCGTCTCCGGGAGATTTCGTAATGCGTAGTAAGTTATTAAAGACAGTCTGGCTGTGACAGTGGAACTGGTACCAGACTAGCCCTCCTGCCATAAACGGACACAAAGATACGAGACAACCCTGTTTTGGCCTTGCACAACAGACAGCACAAGGCTGCAGCCCCTGAGAGCAGGGCAGTTTGAAAAAGTGAGCCCATGATTGCCTTGCTCTCTGCCTCGGAACAGTTTCCCCAGCAGAACATGGCAGTACTGTTGAGCTGTAGAAGCAGAGATCAAAGTTTATGGCAGCTGGAGTCTTTAAGATAAGACATTGGAGAGAGGGGGTAGCTGTGCGGAGAAGGGGCCCCAGCAGTCCCTGGGGGGATCCCCTGTTGGTCCACAGCTGAGGGTTGGGCAGTCTGGGCACAAGAGCACCCCCACTCATGGCTCACCCGATAGCTATGCTGGGGGAGAGCAGAGCTGCACCCCCACCCAAATAGAGATCTTACCAACGCCCTTGGCATCCAGCTAGACACCAAAAAGACCATGCCCTAGGGGTAGGGACCACAGGCTCAGATGTGACCTCCTCCAAACCCACCCTAATAAAGCCTAAAATGTAGCTCACCAGTATCTCCAGAGGAGGCACAGTTTGGGGGTTGGTTCCCACCAAGTGAGAGGGGCCTGTACTTTCTGCAGACCTGCCCTGAAAAAGTGTGAAACCAAGCCTGCACAGCTTGAAGGTGATCAGCCAGTATTTGAGTTGCCTATTAGAACAAAAGAATCAGCCCTCTCCAGAGAATCCTGTCTCTACAACATGTTGTCCACAATGTCCTGTGTTCAATCCAAAATCACTAGATATACAAATAGGAAAATGTGATCCATATTCAAGAAAAAGAAGACATAAGAAACCAAGCTCTAGGTTCTTAGTCACAATTTCCTCATGTCTCTGGACCTGGAGGTGTGTGGTGGTCTCTTGCTCCTCGTTACCACCCCCAGACTGTTCTCCCCTCCTCCCTAAAGCCCTCCCTCCGCACGACTGCTGGTTTGTGTGCTCACTCCACTCCCAGGCTGTCATCCTCTTCCTTCCCTGAAGGCACCAGTGCTCAACTCGCTCCCTCCAACTTGGTCCTGTGCCAGTTCTTGCTGTTCAGTATCCACATGTGTGATCTTTCCAGTGACCTGGCATCTGGCTTCCTTGACCACCTCATCTTCAAGAAAATCATAGTTATGTCCTCCACCATTGCTTCCTCAGATACCCACCCCATGACCTGGTCCTAAGTCTTATTACCAATACACGCAACCCCTCCCAAACAGTTCCAAGCACCCCTCTCTCCAGCCACCAGCGTGGTCCTCCCTGCTCACCCCCTCTGTCACCTTCAGCAGCTTTCTGCCCCATCGGGACCTGCGGCATGACCCTGCCACTCTCTTGCTGTGTCTTGCCTTCTCATGTGCTCACCCCTCCTTCCCTCTCTTAGATCCTGGGGCCACTGTTAGCATCACTCCCCTGCCCTGCCTTCCTCTGGTAGACTCACCTGAAGAACTCCATGCAGCCGCGTGTAACGGAAAGAACAAAAAGGTGCTGGCTGGGACCACCCCAGTGTATTAACTTAACCCTCATATGAGGCCTTAGTGCTGCCCCCCAAGTCTTCCTGCATTTTCATCTGAGCCCGTCTGCTCTTCTCCCCTGGGTTGGTTTCCTCCATCCTCAACAACCCTTTCCTCACCCTCAACTGATGTCCTTGCTGAAGAGAGTTCCCCACTCCCACCCCCATGCCCACAGCCTCGCCTCGTCTGTGCCCTCCCCTCTGCGTTCAAGGACATCCCTCCAGCAGTTGCCCCCTCTCTCCCCTACATCTCAGTCTCTTCCTTGCTAGAAAATCATTTCCATCAGCACACGAACATGCTGCAGTGTCTCCCATCCTCGAAGCCCTCCCTCGGCCTCAGCTCCCCACCCCTACCACCACCTCTGTCTCTGCTCTCCTTTACAGCCCCAACTCCTCAGAAGATGCTCTAGCCTGGCTGTCCATTTCCTCACCTCCACCCTCTTTCTTGGACACCCCCATCCAGCTCTCTCGCCATTGCTCAGGAGTGGCCTGCAGCCACCCGCCACCCTCATTCCGACTGTCGGTGCCTGTGCCACACCTTGTCTTTCACGTATTTTGAATATCACTCTATCAGCAGACGTATGGCCAGATTTCATCTCTCGTCTTACTCTTTCCTCTCAGTAGACAACATTTGATCACTGTTCTTCCTGAAATACTTTCCTCATTTAGCTTCCAGATGTCACTCTCTTGGTATGTCCACACCTGACCTCGAGAGCCTCTCTCCTCAAGCTCTCCTCCGTTTTGTTCAATCTCAGTAAACGTTAACTCCAGCCTTCTAGTTGTTCAGGTCCAAAATCTTCGCACCTTCCTTTATTTCTCCCCTTCTCTTATGTTCCAGTCCAACATCTGGCCTCTACCTTCAAAATCTATCTAGAATCCAACCTCTTCCTGCCTCTGCTGCTACCACCTTGACACAAGCCACTGTCGTCCTTACCTGCACCATTAAAATAGCTACCTCATCTGCAGCCCTGCAGAATACTCGCCACATAAGAGAGTGGTCCTGTTAAAACATAAAAGTAGCTGAGGGCTCCCATCTCACTTAGGAGTCAAAGTCCGAAAGTATCACTCTCTGCCTCCTGCCCACCCTTTCCCCACCCTGCCCACGGTCATCATCACCCCCACCCATTTTGTTTCGTGCTGAATCCCCAGCACATAAACAGAGCCGGATACATAGCAGGTTCTCAAGTGCTTGTTCAGTGAGTCAATGTAGAAGAAATGGTTGTTCCAGATGCTAAGCCACCGTGTGCGGGTTTCAGAGCCAGCTGTGAGGTGATGTCACAAAACTCCTACCTACAACCGTAACCTCAGCATCGATGTTGGGAGACTCTTTCACGGAGACTTAATCAAGTGCTCACTCAAACTCTTCCATAGTGTTCCCAGCAAGTAGCCATTGATGGGTTCCTCAAATGCCTCCACTTCCTTCCTGTCCCACGTGGGGACAGTTCTTGTCATAACTTCTCTGTGCGTGGAGTTGAAATCTGTCACCCTGTAACTTGCGCCCATGGAGGGTTCGCAGAGCACAAGTGGATCCTCTCCTTCAGGAGGAGCCTCCTGTTCTTTCCACCCAGTGTTTACATGGCAGCTCTGAGGCCTGGCATCTCTTAAATAAAGCATGATGTCTAGAACAGGGGTGATTGGAAGTGGGGGTCAGACCGGCAGAATATGAGCTAGTCTGGCACCCCCTTGTTAGTGATTAGTGAGTTCACAGCAGCTTTCCAGCTTGCCCCTCATTTGAAGTCCCTGTCATCCCAAACCCCCATGGGCAGTGCTGTGCCAAGCCGACTGTACCTCTCTTCCCAGCGCCGTGGTATGTGACGTCACGTTGGTGGCATGAAATCAGCCACGGTGGGGTATTTACACCACAGAAGATGGCAGACACTACAGATCAGGGCTTTTCCATTTCTCTGGGAGCTGGTTGCTGACGATTTGCCAGCACACTGCTGCCTGGAGTCGTGGTGGTGATGGTCCTATGTGCCCGACCTCAGCCCTCTCACCTTCACACTTTGCTCAGGCAGTTGAGTGTATCTTGCGTTCACAGAGGTGGTTCTATTGTCTGTTTTCACTCATCCCTCTGCCATATTCTTGGGAAACTAATAGAAACCAGGGTGGCTCCTCTCTCAGAGCCTCCCGCCCTGCCCACAGCAGAGGGGCCATGAGCAGCCGCTAGACAGACAGGTGTGGACTGAGCGGCATCGTGTGCAGACGCTGTGACGGGCATGCTGAACCTGGAGTCCCTTCCTGCCCTCATCCTGACGATGGTTTGAAAAGTAAGGTAACTCTTCCTGGCTGAGGCGGATCCCCTCCAGGATGGTGAAATCTCACCTGCTTTGAGCCTACAACTCAGACCTCTGAGACTTTCTCCTGAAGTTTTACATCCTGAGGACATTGCATTGGCAGTATGAAATCAGCCGTGGTGGGGACATTTACACCGCAGAAACCAGCAACGGGGCATCCTAGTGGAACAAGCCATAGCAGCAACTTACGGGAGAGCCATGAGTTTTAGATGGAGTGGCCTCTGATCTGCTGACCATGTTACAATCGGAGGACGCAATCCAGCCTTAGGAACAATTACTGAGAATGAATCTGTAGGAAATACAACTGAACCTGCTTTAACATTTGCCTGGAGAAGGGGGTCAGTGTTGTCATCAGCATTGTTTCTCTTTTCTCTGCTGATCGCAATTTGGATTTGCCCCTGTCATGGTGACGTGGCCAGGTCCTGAGCGTGAACAGGTACATTCCACTCAGGATACCACTGCAAGATGGCCAGGATGTACCAAGAGGTGATGGAAGGTTCCATGAGGTGCCAGGGAAGGCTGCATACCAGTCACACTGTCTTCTGAGTGGGGAGGACTAGAGAGCCTCTGTGGCCTCCTCCAGATGTGAGGGGGGTAGTTGGGGGGAGGCTCGGGCTATTCTGTTCTAAAGGCTTTTCTAATGCTTGTGTGTATGCATGTGTGCGCCTGTGTGTGTCCTCCCAGATGAACGACAATCTCCTCGAGAGCTGGAGTGACCTTGATGAGCTGAAGGGAGCCAAGAGCCTGGAGACGGTGTACCTGGAGCGGAACCCCCTGCAGAAGGACCCCCAGTATCGGCGGAAGATCATGCTGGCCCTCCCCACCGTGCGGCAGATCGACGCCACCTTCGTCAGGTTCTGAATCCTGCTCCTCACCTGGTCCCTCTTCAGCAGAACTTCCCAGCCATGGTTTTTTAATCCACCCGTTGCTCCTGAAATCGTCACTATAGCAACAGTCACAAACCCAATGGCAATAAAAAGGCACTGAGTGGTAACTGCCACGTGTGACGACTGCTCACCACTTTGGGATGCCGTTCCTCTTACCTCCTGCACACGGTGTTCCTAGTAATCGTTGATGGTCACTGTGCCACACATCCGTTTCTGGGTTTCTTTCTCTCGGAGGTCACGGCCACCACCTGAGAAGGGTGACACGGTGGGTCTGAGAGCTTTAAAACATCCACGTGCTGCCCGGGTGGGCAGTTGGGCAATTCCAGCCGGCCCTCAAGGCCAAGAGCTTTGTAGTCTTTTAGACCAGTTGATGCCATTTTAAAAAAAAATTATATGTATTAGAAAGCAGACAAACCAATGAGTGGGTAAAGAGTGACTCCGCCCTGTGTCCTGGGACCCTCAGAGCTCTCTTAAAGAGCAGTGGCCATGTGCCAGGCCTCTGCCGACTGCTGCCCGGGCATGCCCAGCCAGTCCCACTCAGTCCTCTGAGGCTGATGTTGCCCTTGTGGTAGAGGGGGAATGCTTCCCACGCACGCGGCTGCATTGTGTGCCGACAGAACAGGAGCCCACCCGAGTCTCTCTTCAGAGTCTTTCTCCAAAGAGCTTACCTCTTGGCCACTTATAATATTGCCTCCCATGCTTACCCCATCATTGTGTCAGCTTGTTTTTTATAGAATTTACATCAGTAGTCACCCGGGGTCTGAATTTAATGCTACAAGGACCTTGTCTTCTCTCGGGGTCTCAGATTTTCCCCTCCGCAGAGTAAGGACTGAATCCTGGTCGCCAGGGGTCCCTTCTACCTCTAAGGTTCTAGAGCTGCGCTGTCCAGTATGGGAGCCACCTGCTGCCACATGTGGCTGCTTCAGTTCTAATTTAAATTTGTTAAAATGAAACAAAATAAATTCAGTTCCTTGGTCACGTTGGCCACATTCCAAGTGCTCAATAGCCACGTCTCGCTGGGGGCAGCCCCTTCCACCACCACAGAAAGCTCTGCCGGCCAGCACCACTCTAGCTCCTGCGGAATGGCACTGGACAGGCTACACTGGGAGCCAGGCAGTGCATGTGGGAGGGCTCCAGGCGACGGGGCGGTCAGCTGCCAGGGAAGCTGTAGACATGGCAGTGGTTGGCCTAAGGGTTAAGGTCATGTCCAGTTCCTGACTCTAATCTTCACCAAAATAAATTCTGTGACCTGAGTCTGTGAGCGTCTACCTATTGAAAAGCAAACTCTTGATGAGGAATGCACAGTTAGGTAGGGCGTGGCCCCAGAAAGAGCTTTTGGATCATGTCCCTAGAATTCTGCCCTTGGCCAAACACCATCCATGTCTGAGAACAAAAGAAAGACATTTTTAGATACAAAGATGCATGATTTGGGTGCCCCTGCTGAAAAAGTTATTCTGAGGAGTCCTCCACCAAACAAAAAAATGAATCCACATAAAGAACTGAAGAAAGGGAAAGATATGGTGTGGAAGCAGCAGCGGGAAGCACTAGAACCAGCAGAACTTGGTTTAAAAGGGTGCGTTTGCCGTGGCTGTGGAGCTCTTTGCAAATGCTAAGGCAGAATTCTTGACAAGGCACAGAACGTACCTCGACAGAAACAGCTGGTGATCTGAAGCGCAAGGCTATTGTTGTCTTCATCTGGGAGGTAGGAAGTGGAAGTGAGGATTGCACACGTTTTCACCTTGGTGTAGAGGAAAGGGAGAAACAGCTTATAAAGAAAGTTTATGGGAAAATGTAAGTTTAGGGTCACCACTAATAGCACAGAAAAATGTCACAAAACATCCACCTCTCAAGTAGGAGAAAACGCAGCAAAAAGCGTCAAGCAGAGAGGACAGTGAGGACAGGGGCTCAAGGAGCAGCACAGGCCGAAGCCCCGCAGGTGGCCCCCGGGGGCCGGGGGCAGGAGGTGCCCGCGGTAGAGGTGACACTCTCAGAATGTCACAGATCAAAACCCAGCATCCGTTTTTTAACAGACATTTTAAAAATTGTTTTTAAAATGTTGAAGGGATGGGAAAAGCTGTGCTAAATCCAGCACAATCCTAATCAAAATGCTATCTCATTTTTTGAGAAACTCATAAACTCAAAGCAAAAAGCTCCACATTGAGCCTTGAAACTTCGAACAGGTTCAGTCAACTCTGGAAAAGAGTCAAGAGGGGCAATTTCCTGCAGATTCTGAAAGCTGCAAACCCACAGGAAAGACAGTGTGGAGGCCAGTCAGCTCCGGCAGACCCTTGGACAGAGGCTTGGTGGCTGGAAAGCTGGCCCACGGGTCGAGGAGGAATGGACGGTCTCCTAGACAGTGGTGGGCACAGTAGCACACTGGGGGAGAAAAGCACCAGACCCTGCCTAACATCATCTGCAGGGCGGCTCCTGGGGATTAGAACCCCGGTGAGAAAGGGAAAATAGAAAGTTAGCGGGAAAATCTATTTGTGAGCGAGAAGTGGAGAAGAGCAGCTTCAAACCCCAAAGCACAACCATAAGACAAGATTTTGATGGATTTGTTTATGTAAGAGTAAAATTCCTATAGAACAAAACACCATGAGTAGACCACAGAGAGCAGATAAAGAGACATTTGCAGTGGGTAAAACTGGCAAGGGCCCAGTGCCGAGACGTAAGGGACTCCCACAAATGAAAGAAAATGACAGGAACCCAGATAGGAACAGGCTGAGGACAAGAGCAGGCAGTTCAGAGAGGCCAGAGGGCCAAGCAGCCACACTGTGGGCCACACAGTGTCCCCAGTGTGGTCATCAGAGAAGTGCAAACCAGAACAGGGAGCCATCACTATGCACCCACCGGAAATCAGGTAATTAGAAACGAGCTCATAGTGCGGGTGGGGGGTGGTCCGGGGGACAGGGAGTGGACTGGGGCAGCCAAAGTGTCCACATTGGGAGCTGCCCCCTCCCGTCCAGTAGTGCAGGCCCTGGGCACAGTGGTGGCCGAGTCCAGGCAGAGAGACCCCCACGTGTGCCCTGAGCCTCAAAAAGAGCCGGCAGCCCCACACACCTGAGCTGGGCCTGTGGCTGCGGTAACTGCTCTCCAACTGGAAACAGCCATGGTGTCCACCCTGGGAAACCAAACAGGCCACAGCCATGTGAACTGCATGTCCATTATAGAAGGACATGCTGGCTCTCCCAGAATGTGTGGAAATAGGAGGATTCTCTCAGCCAGGGCAGGGTGGATGACGGAATAAAGCCAAGCAGTCAAGCCAGACGGTGGCCTCCCAGGAACCCCTGAAGAGAGGGCTGCCAGGAGCCACCCTCCTCTGAGCCTGAAACCACCCACAAGCAAAGACAAAGCATAGGAGGTTCGTTTTGAGAGAGAGAAGGGTGGGGGAGGGAGGGAGGAAAGAAGCCAGCAGGGGTGACAGTATTAATAATAAGATGAGGGGGGCCGGCCCCGGGGGAGGAGCTGTTAAGTTCACGTGCTCTGCTTCAGTGGCCCGGGGTTCGCAGGTTCAGATCCCAGGCGCAGACGCACCGCTTGTCAAGCCATGCTGTGGCAGCGTCCCATATAACGTAGAGGAAGATGGGCACGGATGTTAGCCCAGGGCCAGTCTTCCTCAGCAAAAAGAGGAGAATTGGCAACAGATGTCAGCTCAAGGCTAATCTTCCTCAAAAAATAAAATAATAATAATAGAATCAGGGAAGGAGCGGCTTCAGTAGGGAAATTCCTCTTTCCTCAGCAGGTGCTTGGCACCTCTTCTGTGCCTTCCCTCCTTTAGGTATTTGGGATACGTGAGTGAACAGATTCTCAAAATCCCTGCCCCTGTAAACTTCAGGAACAGTGGAGCATAGCTTAAACCATAACCATAAGACAGTTACTTGGTTAGAAGGTGATTCGTGTTTTGGAAGAAAGCGCAGCATTTTGGACAGGCTCACTGAGGAATTACTTAACAGCAGGAGTGGGCTAGGGTGGGGAGGAAGCCACCGAGGGGCAGCAGCCACAGGCAGAGCCTCCGGGAAGGGGAGGCAGCGAGAGAAGGTGAAGGAGGCCTGCAAACACAGCCTGGGGAGGCTGTGGAGAGTCCCAGGTGGGCTGCAGGGGAGATGGAGAGGTGAGGGAGGAGCACAGGGGCTGCTGTGGGGAATCAGGGGGGCCGTCCTGTTGGGGGAGGTGCTGCTGTGCAGAGCTGCAGAAGACCACGGAGAGGGGTCCCAGAGGAGGGGCAGGCCAGCCAGGGGACAGACAGGCAGACATGCTGGACCCAGGGCGTAGGCTGGAGGAACAGAAGTGCCATATGGGGCAAGAGGCAAGCAGAGAGGATGGACGGTGAGCAGGCTAGATGGCCACCTGGAGGAGGGTACTCGCTCTGAGCAGAGAGAAGGTTTGAGGGAGAGGTGGAATCGGGAGGGACCTGGGGGCAGGCGGGGGGCCTGGGGGGCAAGAGAGGGTTCTTGGGGGCCAGAGTGAGTCCTGGGGGGTAAAGGAGTGTCCTGGGGGGCAAGGGAGGGTTTTGGGGGGCAGGAGTGAGTCCTGGGGGCAGGGGAGAGTCCTGGGGGACAGGGAGCATGTCAAGCAAGTGGAGTAGCACAGTAGGGCACAGGAAGACAAAACCATCCATGGCCCAGCCCTCAGGCCACGTGCAGGGCAGGTGAATGTCAGGAAGACAAAGGAGTCACCCAGCTGGCAGTCACTAGAGGGGCCATTCACCCCAGGGATTTTGTTCAGACCAGCAGTGTGCCCACCCCCAGGAATGAGGTGCATTGGTTCAAAACAATCCAATGCGTCTACTCCCTTTCCAGACTGCCTCATGGCCAGGGGTGGCCTGAGACTCATGCTTAGCCGATAACACCTGCTTTCCTGAGAAAAAGGGCAGGTGCAGCTGGCATGGTGTCTTGAATGTGGATTTGATGGCTGGACCTGCTGCAGCCATCCTGCAACCACGAGGCAAGGGCCTTGGCCCTGAATTCCTGGAGCCACTGAACCCACCCAGTTGCCACCATCTCCCCATTTCTTGTGAGGTGAGGAAGATCTTTTTTGTTAAGCCAGGGTAGTTAGAGGCTTTTTTCTTTTTTTCACTTTTACCAAATTTATTTCTAAATGTTACATAAATGGATATAAAAAGTTAGAGTCAAATAAACCTGGAGTAGCAGATCCTGGGCCTGTGTTCTTCCTAGTGCCTGGGACCCAACAAGACACCTGTGCTGGTTGTAGCTTCCTTCTTTAATTTTTTAAAACTGCAAAAGTTATGCAACTTGAAAAAATTTGAAACCAATTGTATAAAGTAACAGTTAGAAGCTATACTGAGGGTGAGTACCCTTTTAGGTGTTCTGTGTGCCGATGTCCCTCTGGGGCCACCAGAGCTGCTTTGCCACCAAGAGCGGTGAGCCAGGAGACTCTGAGAGTTGACCTCTTGCTGGGATGGTCCTTTGCAGTGACTGACCAGAGCAGAATGTGACGTTGCCTCAGGCGGGGAAGACTCAGAGGCCCCGTGGGATCAGGCTGAGGCCATCCTCTGCCAGCGTTACTCCTCTCCCCGCCCGCCTCCCACTCCTTTGCTGGTCTCTGGAGCATTCCACAATCCAGTCCTTGCACAGGAACCCATCTCGGGGTCTGCGTGGGGAGAGCTTGACCTCAGACAGAGACCTCTGTGCAGAGCCGACAGGCCCAGGGCTGAGGAGGAAAAGGAGGGCTGGGATGCCTCCTCCCTGCAGTGAGCAGGGCCCCACCCCCCTTCCCAGACGTGCCCTGAGGTGATGTGATTGGCCTGAGGTCACACCCAGGAAGTGGCAGAGCTGGCTCTGCAACCTGGGTCTCCTGGGTCCCCTGATGTCTCCAGACCCGGGACACCACCAGGCAGGGATGATACCAGCCCGCCCCCGTGGCCGCCCCTGCCAAATTCCACCTCTCCCTAAGTCTCCACAGCAGCAGCCCCACAGTCCATGTGGGCCCTGAAATCCCTAAGCAAATAGGAGGAGAGAGATGGGCCATGGCATTGGCTGGAGAGGACAGTGGTATTTGCATGCGGGGTGTGTGAAGGCTCTAGGAAAATGGGTTGCCTCTGTTTGCAGACTTGGAGCCCCACACCCCCTTTTCAAACAAAGGCAGATCCTGTTCCAGGAGCCAGGGAGACCTTGCCCTGGCCAGCCGTGCCAGGCACCTCTCCTGCCTGCTTCCGGGCCCGTTTGCCAGACGGGGAGAGGGCACTCGAGTCGCCATCACCACCTGGGCAAGGCCATGAGGACAGGGTCCTCCCAGTTCTCTGTCCACGGGGCTGGCTCAGACTCAGCTGCCCAGATGAGGCTCATGCTGGGAGCTTGGCCATGACCTCGGAGGCCTCTTCTGGAAGCCGCTGTGCCAGGTGGGAACCTGTTCTACGATGTGTGGGCCACTGGGAGGAAGTTGGGGAGATGGACTCCAGGGAGGCTGGGTGAACTCCCCCAGCCCATCAGGGCTCCAAGCGCCGTGAACTGCGGGTGGGAGCTCCAGGGTTCCCCTTGGTGCCCCAGAGGCCTGGCATGGTGTCTGCTGCAGGCCCTGGAGGGATAAGAGGAGCCCAGTGCTCGGTGTGGCTTTGGGCAGGGCACCCCCAACCCTAGGGAACCTCAGTTTTCCCACCCGTCCAATAACCACACTATGGAGCAGGTCACTTCTGGGGCCTCTGTGGTTGGAGCATCCTCTGTTCATCCCTTCTGCACAGAGCACCACCTGCTCACCACAGCGGGGCCTTCAGCAGCATGGGGGGGACGGGGGGAGGGGTGTTGCCGGCTGGCTGACTTAAAACTCTCAAAGATTTTCCTCCAGGAACGCCCATGACCCACACCAGCTCAGAACCATGCTGGGGTGCCATGATGCCATGAATCCTAGCTCTGGGGCATCTGGAGCCTGGCGGGGGCTCAGGAGGTGTGGGCTCATATCTCTGCCTCTCTGGGCCTCAGGCTACCTGGACTAGATGAGCTATCCCCTCCAGCCTCCTGTGGTTCCTCCACCTTCACACCCTCCCAGCCTCCGTGGCCCTTGGGACATCCCTCAGGGCTGCATTGGTTCTGCTGGGGCACACAGCCAGCCTCAGCTCAAATCCCACCCACTTCCGGGCCATAGATCTCCTCTCGCTCTTTGCCCCACTTTGCCACCCCATCCACTGGAAGAGTGGTGTCTGTACCAACAGAGGGATCCAGAGGCCAGGTGTGAAAGACACAGGGTCAGTGTGGCCACGCCGGCCTCCCCAACAGGCCTAGGACCCCCCGGAGGAGCCAAGGCCCTGTCTCCATCTATCAAAGGGTATTATCTATTCCCCTGCAGGCGAGCAGGAGAAAGGGGGGTCTGCACTCCAAGCCCACCCCTCTTGGCCTCCTCGGGCCCCACTGCCCCCACAGGGTTGAGGGGGAGGTAGACACTCACTGGACAGGTGGACAGATGGACAGCTGCTGGGCCAGGCCTCCCTCCCTCACTCCTGGGCTCCAGCTGCTGGGCTCCTCCTAGAGCCAGAGGCCAGTCTGGGGGATCTTCATGTGCCCCCAGGTTGGACAGCTCGGTCTGGCCCTGGCCACTGCTCCAAGCCCATGTCCTCACCTGTCACGTGGGCTCACTGCAGGCTGTATGGGGGTATGGGGACTGGGTCTCATGTGCCCCCTCTCTTACCCCCCATCCCTGCCCTGGTCCTGGTGGGGTGCAGGAACGGGATGCTGCGGAGGCGGGCCCGGGAGGAGGACAGTGCCGTCCTGATCGACATGGCCCCCGGGGCAGAGAAGGGGGACTCCTACGGGAGCACAGCCAATACCTTAGAGGTAACACTCAGGACTGTCCCCAGCCCTGGGGACAGGAGGCCCAGCGAGCCATCCACTTGCCTCTCCCTGCCTGGGCCTGAGCCCCCCACCCCAGGATGGACTTGGGGATCCGGTAGACGATGGCCCCACCCTGGGCCCAGCCTTTGGGGGATGGATACAGTGCCCATTGGGTTTTCCAGGAGCCCTCGTCCACTGCGTAAGGCTCCTGCACCCTCACGCTGCGTTGGTGACAGGAAGAGGGAGACGTCCTTAATGCCCACAGTCAGGTCACCGCCTAGCCTGCGAGATGTGCAGAAACCCCTCGGGACAGGCCAGACAAGGACAAGCCAGACAAAGCCAGGCCCACTAGCAATGAAGGGAAGAAAGGGGACGCAGGGCTATGCACCGCTGCGATACCATGTGTTGAAGTTTTTTTTTTTTTTTTTTAATTTTTATTTATTTATTTTTCCCCCAAACCCCCAGTCGATAGTTGTATGTCATAGCTGCACATCCTTCTAGTTGCTGTATGTGGGACGCGGCCTCAGCATGACGGGATAAGCGGTGCGTCGGTGCGCGCCCAGGATCCGAACCTGGGCCGCCAGTAGCGGAGCGCGCGCACTTAACCGCTAAGCCACGGGGCCGGCCCATGAAGTTTAAAACAGAAATGCTGCTTCTTCAAATGTTGTGGAGTAGGATGCACCGGTGTGTGCTGAGTCCCTGAGGCAGTGAAGGGGAGGAAGACTATCCTCTACCCACTCTGGGTTCTTTCTGGCTGGGCTACAAATTAAATTGACTGAGACCAAATAGCAGGAGAAAATCAAACAAAGCTTTGTACCATGTATACGTGGGAGAAACCAGGGAAACTGAGTTTCTTGACAAATGGCGGAGGTTTTCACCTTAAATGGCATATTCAGACAGACAAAGGAGGATGTTGGGGGTGGGGGAGTCAGCTATGGGCGATGACCAGAAAGTACAATAAACAAGTGTATACAGATTTAAGTCCTCTCTGTCCGCACTGATAAGAGTTTCTAGAGATAAGGCCATCCCCCCTTCTTCCTGGTGCAGACAGGGAGATACCTTTACAAATGGAGATTTCTCTTACAAATGTAAATGTTTGGTCTTAGCAAGGACCCTCCCAGTCTGTCAATACAATAACCAAGGTCAAAAAAAGGACATATTTTGAAGTGGCCAATTTTGATCTCCCACAGCAGCAAACTCCGCCAGCAGTGCCGCAGGGGAGCAGTGGGTCTTCAGCTTTATCCACAATGTCTGATTGCCTAAAAATGTAAAACTAAGCACATCAATGGGGAACAGTTGTTGGTCTGGAAGGTAGAATGTGGGAGCCTCTCCGTTGTGTCTGGTTCTCTTCTGCATTTCACAGTTTATCAGCACACAGAGTGGCAGGAAAGGATGCACACCACCTGGAGGGGAGAGATGCATTTGAGAATTAGGGTCAGGGTTTGGGATAGGGCAGAGTCAGGGTCGGGGTCGGGGTCATGGTTGAGTTAGTATAGGGTTAGGTTTTGGATGAGGCGAGGTCAGGGTCAGCGCTATGGTAAAGGTTGAGGTTACTGATAGGGTTTAGGTTAAGGTTAGAGTTAAGATCAAAGTTAGTGATGGGATTGGGTTTAGGGTCACCCTGGGGCCGGGTTAGTATAGATGCCTTTTATAAAGGGCTCCTGTCACCTGGAACTTCTGGAAACCCAAAAGCATACCACCCACTGGGCGCCATGACCACCAATGGCCTGTCTGCAGGGCCACTTAGGGGGCAGTCTGGCTCCCCTCTAGCCCCCGCGTCCTGTCGGTGCTACCCGCAACCTGATGCTGGCCCCCAGCCGAGGCTAGGTGCTCAGAGGCCCAGGGGTGCCCTCGGGGTGGGGGGCGCTGGAGGGCACATGGGGGTGGCCCGCCCTCTGGATATGCCCCTTTGCACACAGTGGTCATTCTTCTGTGTCCCTCGTGGTCTGGGGTGGGGTGGGGGCCAGGTGGGGGCAACTCACCACGGTCAAATGCTGCCTTTTCTCTTCCTTTCCTTCCAGCCGGGTGGACACCAGGCGGCCACTTGCAGGGTGGGGAGCCCTGCCAAGCCCCGAATCGGTGAGCCTCTCCCAGTATCTGCCAGCTATGCCCATGTTGGTCCTGGGGGTGGGGACGCAGATGTGGTGCCTATGGTGGCAGCAGGAGGACAGCGGCCTGGGTCACCGTCCTCAGTGACCAGGCCACCCCTCCCTGCCCATCACTAATTCTGGTGCCAATTGCTGTGCTGGGGGTGGGATTAGGGCCTCATGGTGAGCAGAACACAGCCAGGGAGACAACAGGGAAGGGGGTTCCTGGAGAGGGCTCTGAAAGGTGGAGGGAGTGGCCCCTCCCTGCTGCTCTGGCCTCAGGACAAACTCAGAGTCATCGCAGACTCTTATTTCTTGCACCTCTCACCTTTGCTACCTTCAAAATGTATCAGATCCACTTCTCCTCACCCTCCACCCCCACTGCTCCTGTCTGCCCGGAGCCACCAACCTCTCCCCAGAGGACTGCACCAGCTCCCACCTGGCTCCCAGTGCCCGCCTGCCCATCCTGCTCTCCATGCAGCACCAGAAAGACCCTTGTTAAAAGCAGATGCCCTGGGCCGGTCCGGTGGCTTAGCAGTTAAGTGCGCGCGCTCCGCTGCTGGCGGCCCGGGTTCAGATCCCGGGCGCGCACCGCGGGCGCGCACCGACGCACCGCTTCTCCGGCCATGCTGAGGCCGCGTCCCACATACAGCAACTAGAAGGATGTGCAGCTATGACATACAACTATCTACTGGGGAGCTTTGGGGAAGAAAAGAAAAGGAGGAGGATTGGCAATGGATGTTAACCCAGAGCCGGTCTTCCTCAGCAAAAAGGGGAGGATTAGCACGGATGTTAGCTCAGGGCTGATCTCCCTCACAAAAAAAAAAAAAAAAGAAAAAGCAGATCCCCTAACGTCACACCCATTAGGATGGCTACTATTCAACAACAACAACAAACCAGAAAATAACAAGTGTTGGCGAGGATGTGGAGAAACTGGAACCCTGTGCTTGGCTGGGGGAATGTGAAATGGTGCAGCTGCTGTGGAAAACAGTAGGAAGGTTCCTCAAAAAATTAAACATAGAATTACCATATGATCCAGCAATTCCACTTCAGGGGATACAGTCATGCGCCACATAATGACAGACCACGTATGCGACAGTGGTTCCATGAGATGAGTACCATGTATCCTGTGTGTAATAGGCTGTACCATCGAGGTTTGTGTAAGTGCACTCTATGATGCTCGCACAACAACAGAGTCACCTAACAACACATTTCTCAAAACATGTCCCTGTTGTTAAGCGACACGTGACTGTATACCCAAAAGAACTGATGATGAACATTTGGGTTCTTTCCATTTCTTTGGCTGTTGTGAATAATGCAGCAATGAACATTCATGTACAAGATTTTGTGTGGATATAAGTGTTCGTCTTTCCTGGGCATATTCCTTTGAGTGGAATTGCCAGGTCATATGGTAACTCATTGTTTAACATTTTGAGGAACCTCCAAAGTGTGTTCCAAAGTGACTGCACCATGTTACAAACCACCAGCAATGTCTGAGGATTCCAATTTCTCCACATCCTACCTAGCACTTCTTATTGCCTGTCTTTTTATTCTAGCTGTCCTAGTGGGTATGAAGTGGCATCTCAGTGTGGTTCTGATTTGTAATTCCCTAGTGACTGACAACATTGAGCATCTTTTCATGGGCTTATTGGCCATTTGTATATCTTCTTTAGAGAAATGTCTATTCAAAATCTGTGCCCATTTTAAAATTGGGTTATTTGTCTTTTTATTGTTGAGTTGTAAATGTTTTTTATATATTCTGGATACAAGTCCCTTATCAGATATGTGATTTGCCTATATATTTTTTCTCCTATTCTGTGGGTTGCCTTTTCACTTTCTTGATGGTGTCCTCTGATGAAGTCCATTTGAAGTCCATGGTAATTTTGATGAAGTCCGTCTCACCAATCGTCTCTTTTACTGATATGCTTTTGGTGTCATATCTAAGAAATCATTGCCTAAACCAGGTCATCAAGATTTGCAACTATTGGGCTGGCCCCATGGCTTAGTGGTTGAGTGCACGCGCTCCGCTACTGGCGGCCTGGGTTCGGATCCCGGGCGCGCACCGATGCACCGCCTCTCCGACCTTGCTGAGGCTGCATCCCACATACAGCGGCTGGAAGGATGAGCAACTATGACATAGAACTGTCTACTGGGGCTTTGGGGGAAAAAAAAAGGAGGAGGATTGGCAATAGATGTTGGCTCAGAGGTCGTCTTCCTCAGAAAAAAGAGGAGGATTAGCACGGATATTAGCTCAGGGCTGATCTGCCTCAAAAAAAAAAGATTTACAACTGTGTTTTCTCCTAAGAGTTTTGTCATTTTAGTTCTTGTACTTAGTTCTATGACCTTTATGTTGTGATCTTAACTTCACTTTGAGTTAATTTCGTGTATGGTGTGAAGTAGGGGTCCAAATTCATTCTTTTACATGTGGATATCTACTTGTCCCACCACCAGTGGTTGAAATCACTGTTCTTTTCCTATTGAATAGTGTTGGCCCCTTTGTAAAAAATTGACCATAAATGTATGGGTTTATTTTCAGAATCTTAAATATATTCCATTGATCTGTATGTCTATCCTTATGCCAGTACCACACTGTCTTGGTTATTCTAGCTTTGTAGTAAGTTTTGAAATCAAAAATTGCAAGTCCTACAACTCTGTTCTTCTTTTCAACATTGTTTTGGCTATTCTGGGTCTCATGTATTTCTATATGAAATTTAAACTTATCCATTTCTGCAAAAGAAAAGCCAACTGGGATTCTGATAGGGATTGTGTTGAATCTGTAGGTCAGTTGGGGAGTATTGCTATCTTCACAGTATTAAGTCTTCTGATTCATGCACATGGGCTGTCTTTGCATTTATTTAGCTCCTCTTCAAATTATTTCAACAATGTCTGGTAGTTTTCAATGTATAAGTCTTGCACATTTTTTGTTAAGTTTGTTTTTTTTGGTGCTGTTGTAAATGGAATTGTTTTTCTTCATTTCATTTTCAGCTTGTTTATTGGTAGGGTATAGAAATACAATTGATATTCGTACGTTTATCTTGTATCCTGCAACCCTATCAAGCCTGTTATTAGTTCTAATAGTTTTTGTTGTGAATTCCTTGGATTTTCTATACACAAGATCATGTCATCTGTAAATAGAGATATTTTACTTTTATGTTTACCTATTTCTTTATCCTTTGTGGTACGTTCCTTCCTTCCTGCACATCTGCACTTCCATCTGAGAGTATTTCCTTCAGCGTGAAGAATTTCCTGTAGTATTTCCTGTAGAGTAGGTGTGTTGGGACTAAATAGCTCAGATTCTGATTGTTTGAAAATATCTTCATTTGGCCTTTATTTCTGAAGAACGTTTCTGCTGGGTAAAGAATTCTAGTTTACGGCATTTTCCCCAGAACGTTACAGATGCCGTTCCATTATCTTTTGGTTTCCATTGTTTCTGTTGAGAAATCAGGTATATATATTATTATTGTGCTCCTGAAAAATAAAGTTTTTTTTTTCCTCTTGCTACTTTTAAGATTTCTCTTTATCTTTAATACAGAAAAGATACGCTCTACCGTGATTTTCCTAGTTGTAGTTTCTATATCCTGTTGGGGGTTCACTCAGCTTTTTGAATCTTTGGATTGATTTATTTCATCAGATTTGGAAATTCTTGACCATTTTCTTCAAAGATTGCTCCTTTCCTGTCTACTCTCCCCTGATTCTCCGGTCACAGTGTGCTGGCCTTTGGCCATGACCACACCCTTCTTGTGCCCTCTTCAGTCCTTTCCGTTCTTTTTGCTCTGAGCTTGAGTTGGATATTTTCTACTGGTCTGTCCTTAAGTTTGGCAATCCTGTCTTCTGTTGTGTCTAGTCCGCTATTAAACCTGTCTAGAGGCTTTTTAATTTCATATGCTATGTTTTGCTGTTTGGGGATGTTCATTTGATTCCTTTTCATAAATTCTAAGTCCTTCTTGAAATATTCCAGTTGTTAACCATTTTGTCCATTCTTTATTCTTTTTTCTCTTTTAGCTTAGTAATTGTCATTATTTTAAGCCCTTTCCTGCTTGCTCCACTCTGTGATTCATCTCTGGGTCAGTCTCTGTTGATTTGGTCAGCTTCCTGTATAGTGTTGAGTTTCGTTCTGGCAGGTAGTCAGATTACTGGCAAGTCACCTTGATCTGGTTAAAGCTTGGTTTTAGGTCTTAGAACAGCCCACTTCAATTTTGTGCTTATTCCTAAGATGCATTTTGTGCTCCTATGATGCAGTCCTTACTCCTAGCATGTGGCCTGGCACCAATCTCCCTCCTTTCTGTCTGGCTGGAGCTCCAGCACTGGGCTTCCTCTGAAGTCTTTGTTAGCCATCAGCCTTCAGCAGCCACCTCTGCATGAACACCCAGGAGATCCAAGGACCCAGGGCACTTCCTCACAGACCTGTGGCTCCATCCTCTCCACACCACACTCTTCAAGCCCTGGGCCTCTTAGCAGCCCCTAATTCTGACCTCCACTCCTGCCCAGCAATGCCTCTGCTCCCTCTTGGGCTCTGTTGCCCTGCCTACCAGTTTGGAAAAATGCCCTTAGGGAGAAAGCTTAAGTGAACGCAGGGCTCGCCTCATGTGCTACCTTCTCTCGAAGGCCTTAGCCCTGCATCTGTTGCTGTCTAGTGCCAGAAAAGCAGGGCCTTCCTATATTTTGTCAGGCTTTTACAGCTCTCTGTGGCAGAGAGGTAAGTCTGAAAATGACTTTCACTCAAAGTCCTTAAAGACCCCTGTAGGAGTTTGCAACTGACCCTGCAGGGATGGAGCCACAGAAGGGATCTCAGGGGCAGGCGCCAGCCCCTCCCCAGGCCTCAGTTTCCCCATCGGCCAATACAGAGCTGTCCTGGAAGCTGTTCTGGAGTCCTCCCCGCCCTGACCAGGACCAGAGCGAGGGCTGACTGCAGACACAGGGGAGCAGGCCAAGTGGCTTAGTGGTTGGCTCTTGCTTCCTGCCTGGAGCCTGGGTGTGCCGGCTGGGATGCCGGCAGCCCCTCCCTGGGCTGGTATCCCTGAGTTAGCCCGTTCTCCCTGCCTCTGTCCCTGTTGGTTCCCAGCAGACTTCGTCCTTGTTTGGGAGGAAGACCTGAAGCCGGGTCAGCAGCAGGACCACACCACCCGGGACAAGACAGATGCACACGGGGCCTGGAGGGAGACCTTTCTGGATAAGCTTCGTGCAGCTGGGCTGCATGTGGACCAGGTACCTGGGGTCGGTTGTGGGCAGGGCCCTAGGCTCTGCCTCCGTTCAGTGACCTATGACCTTGCCTCACAAGGCCTGAGGGCATGGTGTCCAGAGCCTTGGAACAAATCAAGCCCCAGAGTCCTGCTGGATGCTCCCCTCAACCCCGGGAGCTCCCAATGGCTGCAGGACCACTGACCACATGCCAGGATAATACCTACCCATCGTGGCACACCCAGCTTGCTCATGGAGATTCAGAGCCATTGAAAACTCAGAAGCCACTTCTCCATTCATCTGTCCCATTTCCAACATTAAAGCTTTGTCTAGGTGTAATATTTGTCGTTGTAACTCTTTGTCTGTTTATAGAATTCAACAGCTATAAAAGTCCTTTCAGGAGCTGGCCTGGTGGCGTAGTGGTTAAGTTCATATGCTCCACTTCAGCAGTCCGGGGTTCGCAGGTTCGGATCCCGGGCGCGGACCTGTGCACCACTTATCAAGCCATGCTGTGGCAGGGGTCCCACATATAAAATAGAGGAAGATGGGCAGTGGTGTTAGCCCAGGGCCAACCTTCTTCAGCAAAAAGAGGAGGATTGGCAACGGATGTCAGCTCAGGGCTAATCTTCCCCACCAAAAAAAAAGAAAAAAGTCCTTTCACATGTATTATGTCAGTTATAATTGTGGGTACCACTTAGAATGCTTTAAGCAATTGCAGGGAGCTTGAGAAAACGGGAAAGAACTGTGTGGATGCTGCAGGTGGCAGGGCAGGCGGGCATAAGTGGGTCTTGGAGCAGTTGGGGATCGGGGCGCAGAGCCCGGCTCCACTCGTCTCGTCCCTGACCCCGCCACTGGCTCGCCATCCGTGTCTCCCGCATTCTCTGCCCTCCTTTCCGACCACCTTGCTCTCTTCCCCAGGACCAGGCTCTGCCACCAGGTGTCCTCTCCCGCCCTGAGTACTCAATCCTGAATTTATGTTGACCACATTCTTGCGCTTCTTTATCATTTTAGCACCAATTTTACGTTGCCAAACGCTACAGCTTGGTTTTGTCTGTTTGAACTTGGTAGAATGGAATCGTGCTCCGTATAATTCCTCCTGACATCCTGCTTGTGAGACGTGTGTGGTTGGTGCGGCTGCTGCGGCCATGTCCTTGCTGCAGAGAGCGCTGCCTGTGTGACTGTCCCACCACCTGCTCATCCATTCCTGTGTCAGTGGACGCTTGACTTGTTCCCAGTTGGGGCTGTTATGAAAACCAGCTGCTGCCAGTTCTCTCGTGCGTGTGTGTGTGTGTGTGTCCTTGTCCCCAAGTGCAGGACTTTCTCCTAGGAGCAGAGCTGCTGGCCCAGGGGGAGTGTGTATGGCCACACCATTTTCCCAGGCAGTGGCCTCAGTTTGCATGACCATCTTGGTGAATGAGCACCCCTTGCTGTGTGTCTTCTCAACACTAGGGAGTATCTGACTTTAGAACATTTACCAGTCTGGCTGGCATGTAGTGGCATCTCACTGCTCTTTTTGGTTTTTTTTTGTGAGGAGATCAGCCCTGTGCTAACATTTGCCAATCCTCCTCTTTTTTTGCTGAGGAAGACTGGCCCTGGGCTAACATCCGTGCCCATCTTCCTCCACTTTATATGGGACGCCGCCACAGCATGGCTTGCCAAGCAGTGTGTCGGTGCACACCTGGGATCCGAACCAGTGAACCCCGGGCCGCCACAGCGGAGCGCGCGCACTTAACTACTTGCACCACCGGGCCGGCCCCACACTGCTCTTTTAATTTACATTTTCCCTGATTCCTGAAGAGGTTGGGCATTTTTGCATGTTTACGGGCTGTGTTTCCAATACTGTGAACTATCTTCTCATGTCTTGCTATCAGGCTGGTTACATTTTTCTTACAATGCATGGAAGCTCATATATTCCGGACACTTCTTTCTTGGTGGTTACGTGTGTGGCAGACGTCTGCCCCAGTCCGGCTTGCCCTTGGTGTCTCACGTTTCCCACTCGGTGTGTGGGATACGAAGTGAGCAGGCTCTTCCACTCGCGGCTCACCCTCCCCACCCTGAGGCCCACAGTTTGCCACACTCCCTTCCAGAGCTGCCTCGGGTGTTGGCAAACATATATGATGGGGTTGGGGGTCAAGAGCTAACATTCCCACCTCTTCTGAGTTTGGATCCACTTGACAGTCTGGTGGGTGGGATGAAAAATCTCCCCCTTTATTATGGAAAAAGCTATGGGACAGTGTGGCTCATAGGTGTGGCCATATGAGTTTGTAAAACCTTCATCCAGAATTTGGCTTTAGTGGGGGGCACAGAGGGACAGCTGCAGGGGGTAGGAGTGGGCACTTCCCCAGCACCTTGTCCAAAGTGCCCTCAGTCTTCAGTCTAAATGACAGTTCTCGGCTCTCAGCACACATCACAGCCAGCTGGGAATGTCTGAGGCGCTGAGGCCATGTCTGCCCAATGGGTGTCTGTTCCAGTTGGGCCCAGGTGGGGCCTGGCCATTGGCATTTGGGGAACCCCCAGATGGCGGTGAGGTAGCAAGGGCTGAGAACCAGTGGATTCAAGAGGGAGTTTTGGAACGCAGGTGTACACTCAGTAGAGGCACCCGATCATGGAGCTGAAAGTCCCCATCTCAGGGCGCCAGGAGTGCCTGTCACATGTCCCCACACATGTGAACATAGTCACACCACTGATTTGTACACGTGCACACTTCTATGGGTACGTGTATAACATACACAGATACCCAGTAGCTTGTCCAAGGGCAAGACAATCATTCGATGTCTGAAAACTAAAACCTGAATCTATTGCCTACCTATGTCAGGAGAGCGGTGCGGGTCAGGCCCATCTCCGAGAAGGCAGAGGCCGCTCTCAGCAGGCTTTGGGGAAGGGTTTGGTTGGTTGTGCCGGTCACAGAGGCGGCATGGTTGGCGCCGGCCCTAGCAGCCCAGTGTTGTCTGTCTGTCACTGATGGGCTGACTTCCAGACAGGAGGACTCACTCACTGGCTGGCCTTCAGAGGCATGTTCACAAAGGCAAGTCGTCATTCATCAAATTGGTTTAAAACCAGTGCTGGTTAGTTGTTACCATGGCTACAGAAACATCTATCTTTCCTAAGAGTGTAAATGGACACGCACACATACACTCACGGGCACACACACATGTGCAGACGTGCACCCATACAAATACGTACACAGACATGCACACACACGTGTACACACGTGTGCACCCTCAGGCTCTCATGGAGCCCCTCGCTTTCTGCAGCGTGACGTCCAGGATGAGGACAACGCAGTGCACTACGTCCTCCTCAGCGCCCCCTGGGCACTGCTCTGCTACTACGCGGAAGACCTGCGCCTGAAGCTGCCTCTGCAGGTACCTGGGGCGGGCTGCAGAGAGAGGGCCTCGAGGTCCCCCCACAGGCCAAAGCTACTCTTGACTGCACCCCAAGCACCGGGTGCAGCTGCCAGTGCTGACAACCCTGGGGGCTCCCGCTCAGTGTCCCCATCACACTGTGCTCCAAGAAGCCTTACTGGGCAGATAGGGCGGGGTGGTGTAACCCCCGTGGCGGGCTCAGGGCAGGTGGGGAGGGGTGGACAGTGTGAGCTGGCGCCAAGGCACTGAGTTGGCCACCTGGGCCCCCGCAGGTGCAGACCCCCACCAGGCCACTGAGAGCCAGCACTGGAGGTGGGGGCGGGGCAGTCCCAGCCCAGGGGACACCAGGTGGAGGGGGCAGTGGCTCCAGGGGGACCTCAGGATGACACTCCTGGGGGTGGCTCTGCCGCCCGCTCCACGGGCTCCCCTTGACCATCATGGCATGGGCATGGACAGAGAAACACGCCCCTACCCTCTTGTCCCTTCCTGCCTTGAGGAGCTCTGGGCCTCAAATTGGCCAGCAGAGCAGCCCTAGAGCCTGAGGCCCAGAGAGGGGAAGGGGCTTGCCTGGTCCCTCCGCAGGGTCCGTAGCAGGGCCAGGGGAGGGCGGGGGCTGTTCCCTCTCCTGGAGCCCTTTCACCTTTTGCCCAGTGTGCAAAGCCACACACCCCCACCCCGCGATGTGGCGTGCGTGTCCCCTCAGGAGTGGGAGGAGCAACCCACGATTCTTTCCAGGAATTGCCCAACCAGGCCTCCGACTGGTCAGCCAGCCTACTGGAGCGGCTGGGCCTCCCCAACATCCTGCTAGAGGATATGCCTGACGTGCCCCCCGAGTACTACTCCTGCCAGTTCAAAATGAGCAAGCTGTCGAGGTAAGAGGTGGCGGCCCTGCTGGGCCCGCATGAGAGAACCAGGCAGAATGCGTGAATGCAAGAACCAACGAATAAGGGAGCTAAACTCGCTGCTCTCCCCCCACTCTCTCCTTCCCTGGAGCTTTTCAGCCAGGGGACGTGCATCTCGGGTGGCCACACTTTAGCGCACGTCAGCATTTTCTGTCAGTCGTCCATGTCAGCTGGGACAAACATCCCGCAAACCTCAGTGGCTGGACACACAAGGTCCATTTCCTGCTCTGCTACGTGTCCATGCAGGGGCAGTGTCCCTGCTTGTCACGGTCTCTCAGCCGCTGAGGCAGAAAATGGAAGTGGTCAGTCCGCACTGGCTCCTGGAGCCCCTCCCGCGGTGGCTCTTGCATTCCCAGGTTCCCCGCCAAGCAAGGCACATGGCCACAGCCAGCCTGCAGATGGGGCAGTGTCCAGGCCAGGGGACTGTGGTGGTCAGCACTGCAGACGCCCACGTGGCCCCACCGCCCCCGCTGAGAACACCTCCTTTCTGGGCTGGGGGGAAATTCAGCCACACACACTCTTGCTGCCACCCACAGGGCTTCCCAAGGTTCTGATGTCCCAGGGAGGGCCCTGTGGTCAGTCATCCATCCATACAAACCACCCCCAGACGCTGCCCACGAGGCCTTTGGTCCTGTGCTCAGAGCTTCAGGGGGCACATGGAAGGGCCCAGGGTCCTTGGTGAGCCTGGTGCTCCCGCACTGCCTTGCCCTCTGCCCAACCGCAGTCCACTGTCCCCTACCCAGTGTGGGGCATTTCTGTGACATCTGGAGAACCTGCCATGACCTCCTGCCTGGGGAAAGGAGAAGGCAAAAATGGGAATTGATTGTGCTGCCGGGTGGCAGTGGGTGTCTCCCAGCATGGGGGGTGGGGGCATGAGTGTGCATCAGTGTGTGTGTCTGTAGGCCAGTGCGTGTGCTCCTATGTACGTGTTCTTCTCACGTGGTGTGCTCCCATGTACGTGCTCTTCTCATGTGTGTGCTCCTGTGTGCATGTTATTCTCGTGGGTGTTCCTGTACGTGTGTTCTTCTCATTTGCGTGTGCTCCCATGTGTGCTCTTCTCCTGTGTATGTGCTCCCGTGTGTATGTTCTTCTCATGTGTGTGTGCTCCTGCATGTGTGCTCTTCTCATGTGGGTGTGCTCTTCTCATGTGTGTTTGCTCCCGCATGTGTGTGCTTTTCTCACATATGTGTGCTCCTGTGTGTGCTCTTCTCATGTGTATGTGCTCCCACATGTGTGTTCTTCTCATGTGTATGTGCTCCCACATGTGTGTTCTTCTCATGTGTATGTGCTCCCACATGTGTGCTCTTCTCATGTGTGTGCTCCCACATGTGTGCTCTTCTCATATATGTGTGCTCCCACGTGTGTGCTCTTCTCATGTGTGTGCCCCACGTGTGTGCTCTTCTCATGTGTGTGCCCCACGTGTGTGCTCTTCTCATGTGGGTGTGCTTTTCTCATATGTGTGTGCTCCCACATGTGTGCTCTCATCATGTGTGTGTTCTCCCACGTGTGCTCTTCTCATGTGTGTGTGCTCCTGTGTGTGCCTCCGCATGTGTGTTCTTCTCATTTGTGTGTGCTCCCATATGTGTGCTCTTCTCATGTGTGTGTGCTCCTGTGTGTGTGCTCTTATCATGTGGATGTGCTTCTGTGTGCGTGCTCCTGTGTGTGCACAGGTACTCGAGTTCTGTACTTTTCACACTCCCACAGGTTTCTCGGGAGTGACAACCAGGACACCTTCTTCTCCAGCACCAAGAGGCACCAGATTGTGAGTGGGGGTCCCTGCTGTGGGCCTCAAGCCCTGCCCTGGCTCTGAGAGGCCTGCTGGCCCCATACCTCCCGACCCTGAGCTGGGAAAGAAGGCCTCCGTGGACACAGGAAGGCTCTCCTGTGGTCAGAGGGCCGAGGCCCCGGCGCTGCAGGCCTAGAGGCTGCCGCCCAGCTCACTGCACAGGGGAGCAGGTGTCCAAGCTGCAAAGCACAGCTGGGCCCTGGTCAATGCCCCGGGGACCCCCCAGGGCCCAGAATGGATGTCACATTGATGGACCTGTGGAACAGACAGCCAAGACCACTGGGCCTGGGTGGGCATGGGTCCTGCAGGCCAGTGCAGGAGGGACTGAGGGCCAGAGCAGACTCGCAGCTGCGGTGTCCCTGAGAAGGGTGGGCAGACCTGGGGCCGCTCCAGGAGCCCTGCTCCAGTGGCCTGTGGTGGGGAAGGGGCTAGTACAGGCCTGCCCAGGAGAGCCCCCTGCTGACCACCAAAGGGCACAGGGCCCCGCAGGCTTGCCCAGGCAGGGCAGTGCCACCCCTGACACAGGTGTCCCCATGGAGGCTGACACCCGCCCAGAGCACAGACCCAGTGTGGCTGTGCACGGGCAGGGCCTGGGTTCAAATCCAGACTCGATGCCTCTGAGCCACGTGGCTCTGGACAAGGTCTTCGCGTTTGTGAGTGGGAGAATGACCACAGCTTAGGGGTTGTGGTGTGTGTGAGCTAGCAAACGAGGAAGAGCTGGGCAAAGCATTGTCACCAGAGGGCTTCGGGAGGCCGTCATGGGCTTACCCCCGAGAGGGATGGGCCAGGATATTCCTTCCCTGCCATCACAAGACAGGTGACTGGTGCTATCCCCACCACCCCCAGCTGTTTGAGATCCTGGCCAAGACCCCATACGGCCACGAGAAGAAAGGCCTGTTTGGGATCGACCAGCTGCTGTCAGAGGGTGTCTTCAGCGCGGCCTTCCCTCTGCACGATGTGAGTCCTGGGGTGCTAGAGGTGCCGGGGACAGGGGGCTCTGGCCTGGGCGTGGGGGTGAGTTCCTGGATGAGGAGGACCCTTAAGTCCTGGTCCAACCCCAGGGGATGTGGGGGTGTGGGCCCTGCCCTCCCGTGCTGGGCAGCTGTGGTCAAACAGGCGGTCATGCTAGGGGTCAGCAACACACTCGTGATGTGACCAGGCCACGCTCAGCGTGTCTGAGGCCATGGGTGGCCACATGCTGCCCTCCTCGCCAGGTGACAGGCCTGGCGACTCCACCTCCCTGGGGAGCTTCCCTCTCAGAAGACAATGAGGTCTCCTGTGTTCCTCATGAAGCCAGGTAAACTGAGGCAGTGCCAGGGAGGGGCATTCACCACACCAGCTGCCACTGTGCCTGACCCCGTGAGCCTTACCATCGTCCTTGACAAAATGTCTACCATGTGGGTCGGGAGGCCGTTTATGCCCCGGGTCCCCCAGCTTCCCACCACGAGGCCCTCAGAGCTGCACAAAGGGGCAGTGGGGCCTGAGGGCCCCAGTCAGGCCTGCACCCCCTGCTGTGTGACTGTGGGGACAGTCCCTCCCAGATGTCACCGAGGGGGTAAATGAGGGTGTGGATGGGAATGCCCTGCTGCCCTGCAGTGCCGTGGGTGCCCACAGCCCTGCTCCATCTCGCTCTTCCGCCGGCCAGGGCCCAGCGGGGACGCACAGGGCCTGACACAGTGGCCTTGCTGGCCCGGCCGTTGCCGGGCATTGCAAGCATGGGCGGTAGAATCCTCCTCCCAAGGACGCTGATCCCACCCTGGACCACAATCGCTGGCTCCTCCTGGGCCCGCCTGCCCAGGCCCCTCCTCTGACCCAGACTCGGACCCCAAGAGTCCTGGGCCAAGGGCTCGACTCAGAGCCCTTCCTCAGAGAGGCCTTCCTGGCCCCCCAGCCCCCAGCATGGTTCTGTTTTCATCCTCCAGCAGCAATTCTAGTTCCCGGGGTTTGTCGGCCGTCTCCCCGCGCTGGGGAGACGCACGGTGTTGCCCGGTGCTGAATCTCCCATACCTAGAACTGTGCCTGGTAGAGAGGGTGCCCAGACCAGCCTGGACTCTCCCACCAACGGCTTCTCATCCTCAGGGCCCCTTCACAACACCCCCGGAGGGCCCGTGGGCTCCGGGCCTCAACCGTCGGCAGGTCCTGTTCCGGCACTGGGCCAGCTGGTGCAAGTGGCACAAGTACCAGCCTCTGGACCACGTGTGCAGGTACTTCGGGGAGAAGGTGGCCCTCTACTTCGCCTGGCTTGGTGAGTTCCACACCTGCTGCCTCCCAGGTCCCCTAACTTGATCTTCAGGGTAACAGTCTGCTAATGCGTGTCCCCAAGAGGGCAGCTGTGCTGACCCCTCCTAGGCCAACGCTCCCCGACTCCCAACCCTGCCCCTGCCCAGCTCCCCTAGACCCCGGCCCAATAATATAACGGAGCACTGTGGCTGTTCTGGAACCCTCCTAACACTCCAGAGAGAGACTGGGAATCCCCTTCTGCAGGCGACGGCCCCTCCCAACTCCAGCCCTCGGTGTCCCTAGCCCACCAGACGTGTCCCAGGAACTAGTGACCCAGTGGAGGTCACCCCTGCATGGGGTCCAGAGCAAGCGCCCTCTCACGTCCTCCAGGCAGGCTGTCATCTTCGGAATAGCCGTCTGCCCTGGGCAGCCCCAGGGCTCCCTGCTCCCCTCATGGGCTCAGTTCTGTCCCTACCCCCAGTCTAGCACAGTCCCCTCCCCCTGGTTCTGTGCCCCAGCCGTCTGAAGTCCTTTCTTTCCCCAAACACAACACATGTGCCCCCACCCCAGGCCTGTGCAGTCCTCAATCACGCATACATGCATCTGTTCAAATGGCAAGCCATGTTGGGGTGCTGTGCACGGTGGGGAGACCCTGCCCTCTTGGAGTGCATCACCTGTGGGTGACACAGAGGAGAGGCCACCCACAGCCACTGTGGACCCAGACAGGGTGGGGCGGCCTGCCATGGAAGAGTGTGCTGGGCCAGGGCATTGGAGCCAAGGCACAGCCCGCGTGCAAGGACCTGAGGCTCATCTCAGGGCCAGAGAGGAGCGGGAGCCGTGGGACAGCAAGGCCAGGCCGGAGGCCCGCAGAGGGTGGTCTTCCTCTGGGTTCTAGACAGACTTGCATCTTACAGAAGGCCAAGTCTGGGCTGGACCTGTGGGAGGCAGACAGCTGCACCGCTGAGGGATTTGGAGGGTAACTGAGGGACCTGGCCCTGGGGGGTGCGGGGCAGAGAGGCATCCAGACGGGTCCTCAATCTCCTGGGGTTGGAACGCAGTGGGCAGTGTGCCTCTCACGAAGGGGACGTCCATCCCGCACCTGTGGGTTGGAAGTAAATGGAGCTCAGGAAAGGGGTGGCCAGGAAGCAGGAAGCACAGTGGCTGGAGGCCTGGGGGGTCAGGTGCCGAGATCAGTGTGGTGGGGGTCCAGAGGCCAGGTCAGAGGCCAGGAGGGGGGAGCTGTGCCCAGAGCTGCCAGGGGGATCCCTGAGGACCGTGCCCCTCACTGCATCCTCCCAGAAGGCCTCAGACCCTGGTGGCTGCATGTGGTCCCTAGGGACAAGCACGGCTGTGCAGACCCCCGCCCAGAGCTCAGCACAGCGCTGGGTACACAGGCCCACCTGGGTCCCTGACAGCCAACCTCAGTGTCCCCCCTGCAGGGTTCTACACAGGCTGGCTCCTGCCAGCGGCAGTGGTGGGCACGCTGGTGTTCCTGGTGGGCTGTTCCATGGTGTTCTCAGATACGCCCACGTAAGTGTCCTCTCTCCTCCACTCCCAGGCCTTGTCCTGGGTCTCCTGAGGCAGGTGTATAGTCGGAGGGACCCACAGGTGCCAGGCCCTATGCAGAGCTGGGGATGGAGGTGAATGCTGGGCACATCACTCCCCTTATGGATGTCACAGAGGGCCCTGTGCACCTGGCTAGAAGGCTGACAGGTGGGCAGGTGTGCCCCCCGGGCTGACAGGTGGGCAGGTGTACTCCCAGGCTGATGCAGGTGGGAAGGTGTTCCCTCAGGCTGACGCAGGTGGGCAGGTGTGCCCTCAGGCTGACAGGTGGGCTCCCAGGCTGACAGGCGGACAGGTGTGCTTCCAGGTTGACGCAGGTGGGCAGGTGTGCCCTCAGGCTGACAGGTGGGCAGGTGTGCCCTCAGGCTGACGCAGGTGAGCAGGTGTGCCCTCAGACTGACAGGTGGGCACGCGTGCTCCCAGGCTGATGCAGGTAGACAGGTGTGCTCCCAGGTTGACAGGTGGACTGGTGTGCCCCCCGGTTAAGTTCATTGGCACTCACCCTTGTTTCTTTACAATAGTGTAAACTTTTCTTGTAATAAATAAATGACTGTGCTTGGGTTTTACTTTATTATAGAGTTAAAATTGCAAAAAGTTATCTCAAAAATTGTCACTGCATGTATTTTAAAACCACCTTGTAAAGAGATGCTGGGCCTGGCCAAGGAGGTGGTGGGAAGGGAGAGGGCAAGCATGGGACTGGCGGGGAGGGCTGTCCCCACACAGCCGCAACTCCCACCCGCCCTGAAGGCAGGAGCTCTGCGGCAGCACGGACAGCTTCGAGATGTGTCCACTCTGCCTCGACTGCCCCTTCTGGCTGCTCTCCAGCGCCTGCACCCTGGTCCAGGTACGAGGAGAGGGTGGGCAGGGTGAGGAAGGCAGCCCCCAGGTTCTGGTCCTGCCCCTGGAAGCCCCGCTCTGTCACCATGTAAGGCAGAGCCTCCGTGCCTCATCTAACCTCTGTGGCAACGTCCCACCTGGATGGCGTTACAGTGGGCGCCCCTCTCGGCACTCAGCAGAGTGCCCGCACGCAGTCCGTGCGCATGCGGGGCTCTGTCTGTCGTTGTTGTTGTGGATGACCAGCCAAGAGGGTCAACTGGAGCACGCCCACGGCAGACAAACGTGGGGCCAGACAGGCTGAGCAGAGTTCCCAACTTTAGAGGCCAGGGCAGGAGGCTCCCGGGAGCCCTGGGGCCCTGTGGCCCTCACGTCAACCCAGCACACTGCCGGGTGGGTCAGCCTTTCCATGGAATAGTGGCCTCACCTGCATCCCACACACGCGGGGCCTGGAGCCCTGGTGCCAAGGATGGACCCACAGACCAGACGCATAACCCTTTGACACACTCCTGGGAATCAATCTGTATCGGTTTCCTAGGGGTGCTGTAACGAATTATCATAACTGGGGGCCTAAAACAACGGAAATTTATTTTCTCACAGTTCTGGAGGCCAGAAGTCCAATATAGGTGTTAGCAGGGTTGGTTCCTTCTGGAGAATTTGCTCCATGTCTCCCTCCTAGTTTAGGGGGGCTGCCAGGAATCTCTGGTGATCGTTGGCTGTGGTTGCCTCACTCTCATCTCTGCCTCCATCTTCCCATGGCCTCTCCCTCTTCGCGTCTCTCTCTCTGTTTCTCCTTCTCTTCTAAGGATTTGTCATTTGGCTTAGGGCCCTCCCCCCACCCCCACCCTGGTCCAGGGTACCCTCATCTGGAGATCCTTATCTTAATTACATGTGCCAAGGCCCCTATTCAAATAAGATTACATTCTGTGGTTCCAGGTGGACACATCTGGGCCACAGTTCAGTTCACTGCAGTCCCTCCTCTGGTCCCCAAAACTTCGTGTCCATCCCATGTGCAAAATACATTCACCCCAACCCAACATCCCCAAAAGTCTTGACCCATTGCAGCCTTAACTCTAAGTCCAAAAATCTCATCAAAATGTCAACAGCTCAGAAAGTCCCGAATCTCGTCTAAATCCTCCATGTCGGGCACGGGTGAGATAGGGCGTGGGCCGTCTGGGGTGACAGTCCTCTCCCTCTGTGGACCTGTGCGCCAGGACACAAGGCATCTGCTTGTAAAATACAGTGCAGGACGGCACGGGATGTTTGCCATTCCAAACAAGAGAAATCGGAGGGAATATAAGGGCTGCCATCCCAAGCAGATGTGAAACCCCCGCCCGCCCCGCCCGCAGGCTGGCCGGCTCTTCGACCACGGCGGCACCGTCTTCTTCAGCCTGTTCATGGCGCTGTGGGCCGTGCTGCTCCTGGAGTACTGGAAGCGGAAGAGCGCCACGCTGGCCTACCGCTGGGGCTGCTCTGACTATGAGGACCTCGAGGTGGGTTGTCCCCCTGACCGTGGCCGCTCCCCACGAGGGCCACTGCTGAGCACTGACTCCCTTCTAGGAGAGGCCGCGGCCCCAGTTTGCTGCCTCAGCCCCCATGACAGCCGTGAACCCCATCACTGGCGAGGATGAGCCCTACTTCCCCGAGAGGAGCCGCCTGCGCCGTGTGCTGGCCAGCTCCGTGGTGGTCGTGATGATGGTGAGGGGCCCCTGCCTCCCTCCCCTCCCCTCCACCTCACACCTCCTTTCTCCTGAGCCGCATGGAGCAGCTTTTGTCCCCCTTCCCCCTCTGGGGCCAGGGCCTGATGCCTCCTCGGACCCACAAGACCCTCGCTGCCCTCAGAAAGGCCCCCCTGTGCCTGGGCTCCAGGGACGGGCCAAGCCCGGGACCAGGCTAGGGGGGCCAGGCTGTAAGATGCGGTGTGTGACAGACAGGTGCTCTAGGAAGGTCGCCCCATGCCTGTGGGCCTGGGGCATCCTTCTAGCTTGGGGGCAATCCCAGCACAGTGGGGTCCACCATACCCTGCCTTGCCCTCCAGCCAAAGGGGCTTCCAACTGGACCCCCTCCCTCCCCTTCCAAGATGTCAGGAATTTCCAGTTTGGGGCTGGTGAAGGGTGGGGTGGGGGTAGGAGGGATGGTTCTCCAGCACCTGGGCCGAGAACAATGGACAGTGGCCCCCTTGACACCTCAAGGTCACCCACCCTCTAATTCTAAAGGACCTCCGCTGCTCCCTGCCTCTACCCACAATAGCCCACCAGAAGGAGGAAGGAGCGCTGCCTGCTCTAGGGGCGGGAGCAGTCATGGAGCTGCTGGGGGGCTGCGGCCTGAGGGCACTGGGGTGCTCGCCTGGCATGGGGCTCATGTACCTGATCGCCCCATAGGTGGCTGTGGTGGTCATGTTCCTTGTGTCCATCATCCTGTACCGGGCCATCATGGCCATCCTGGTGTCCAGGTCGGACAAAACCCTGCTTGCAGCCTGGGTGAGCCTCCACTGCTGCTGCTGGGTGGTTGGGTGGGTGGCTCTGGACCACCGCTCCAGTGCCCTACTCTGACCCAGCACCTCTCATCAGGCGTCACGCATTGCCAGCCTCACGGGGTCCGTGGTGAACCTTGTCTTCATCCTCATCCTCTCCAAGATCTATGTGGCCCTGGCCCACATCCTGACGAGGTGGGGTGAGTGGTCAAGACTGGCCCTGCCAGCCCGAGTCAGAAGGTGACTTTGTCACCAATCTACAGGGTGCTGGTGTCTGAATGAGGCACAAGTGGGACGTGTGGGACCCCCCCAGAGGTCCCTCACGTAGCAGTGAGCAGGGCCTCGGCGGGGGCCTGCAGCCCGCCCTCCGTTTCCCTGTGTCTGGGGTGACTGTAGGTGGTGGGAGGCAGCTCTTTCTTTCCCTCCTTCTCCTGAGGACATGTGCCAATGAACCAGTCTCCCTGCCAGCCGCTTGTCTGTCCCCCTCCCTGGTCCAGGAGAGGGATGGAGGGCTCAGTGCTCACACTGGGAGGACGGTGGGCAGTGGAGGGCTGTGGAGGAGATGGGAGGGTCCCAGGGAGGGGCTCCTGGGAAGAGGAGGGCAGGGCAGGCCCGGGGGAGCCGCCCAGAGTGTCCCTGGGACATGGGCGTTCCCCTCTTCTGGCCTCAGGTGTCTCCTCCAATTAACCTTTTCTGCTCACACCTCCGTCTCAGGACCTGCTCCCCGGCACCCCCACCGCCCGGCTCCCCAGCTCTTCTGTCGCCCCGACTGTGCCTCTCTGCTCACCGGGGCCACATCTTGTTAATTCTCACCGTTTATTGTCGCTTGTCCCTGCTCTTCCTTTACCAACACAACAATTTTAGACGATTTTGAAATTAGAAATTCAGGACTGCTGCACTGGGCCCCTTCAATGAATTTCTTTAAAATATCTGGGACATGCGGCCATCTCCTCATTCCCTGATGGCTGAGGTGGTCCTACATATGAGGGGACCTTGGGGGCAACTGAGCGAGCGCTCTCTGTGCCACAGAAATGCACCGGACCCAGACCAAGTTCGAGGACGCCTTCACCCTCAAGGTGTTCATCTTCCAGTTCGTCAACTTCTACTCCTCGCCCATCTACATCGCCTTCTTCAAGGGCAGGTCCGCCGCTCCCTCCGGCCACGCCTTGCCTTTGGCCCGCTGTGCTCGCTGCTCCTGTGTCCGCCAAGCTCAGGGAAGGGGGCGGTGGCACCGGAGACCCGCTGGGGACGGGCCCGGCTCCGCTGGTGCTTGCTGCGGTCAGGGGTGGGCGGAGGAGTGCCGGCGGGCTCTCAGGAGGGTGCTCCCCGCAGGTTCGTGGGCTACCCGGGCAGCTACCACACCCTGTTCGGGGTCCGCCACGAGGAGGTGAGTGTGCGGGGGCAACACCGCAGGCGGGCGCTATGAGTCCTGCTCCGTTGACTTCCCGCAGCGGCCCCCCAGGACCGCCACGCCAGCTCTCCACACCCCATCTCTGCCGTCGGAACAGCCACCCACAAAACACTCACAATCCATGTGTCCCCCGTGCACCACCTCCCCCATTTTAACCCGAGTCACACCTGAGCAGAGTTCCAGCCATTGTGACGTCCCTGGAGCCACTTTCGCTGCTGCGAGCTCAGCGGGAATAGTGGGGACGCAGAGGCAGTGACCCTCACGGGCTCGGTGCCCGGTGACCACAGTGGCCCTGGCTTCTCCCTGCGGCTGTCCCCCCCCCCATTAACACAAGCCGCTCTGCTGGCCTCTGAGCCCAGCGGCTCTGAGAGCCTGTGTGGACCTGTTTTCAGAAAGCAGAAGCTGGCTTGGTGCAGGATGGAGCACGGCTGTGGTGTGGGTTCCCCCAGAGCAGACCCCAAGACAAAGACTTGGGTGCAAGTAACTGGTGTGGGCGTCACCCCAGAAGATGCAAGGGCAGGGGGTGTGCAGGAGGGGGTGGCCTGCGAGTACTTGAGGGAGGGGTCACCACTGTGGGCACCTGGGCTTGACCTCCCCTGGACCCTCTGAGACATTGTAGAAAACCCCCCAAAACTGTACCCAGGCTTCTAGTTCCTTAATGGCTGAGGGCCAAGCCCGCCCCGAGGCCGAGGTGCAGGCAGCGTAGGTGGCTGTGTCGGGAACAGTCCACAGGTGGCCTCTGGGCTGGGCCAGCGGGACACTGGGGTGGCGGGGGTCTCCCGCAGCTCCTACTGAGCACCCCACCTGAAAGACCCTCTCCTCCTTTCTGACCAGAGGGAGGTCTCCCTCTTTCCTGCCGGTCTGGGCTGTGACCCAACCTCAAGGGACACTCTCCATTTCACATGAGAGGGGAGGGGCTTCTCAGGGACGGGGCAGCTGGGACCCCAACTCAGGGGCATAACTGCATGTGACGCTCTGTGTCAGTCAGGTGGCTTTCAGTTATCAGTGGAAAAGTTCCCAACTCAAATTGGCTTAATCAAAAAAGAGTGTCCTTGGCTCCTGTATTGACAACATCCAGGGCTCTGTGGGCTCAGCTGTGGCTGAATCCAGGTGTTACACAATGCTGCACTGCTCTCCCCACCACTGGCCGTGCTCTCAGGTGGCTTCTCCTCACCTGGTGGAGAAGACACCCCAAGAGCTCAGGCCAACACCCTCTAGCCTGGTACCTCTGTGCAAGGCACGCTGTCTCAGGAGCTCCTCCTAAAAGCCCCGGGCCCAGAACTCACTCGAATTGGGTCACTGGTGGGGCCTGCGTCTTGGGTCCTCCCTGGAGCCACAGGCTAGGGTCAGCCCCATGTAACCCCATGTGGGTCCCCAAAGGAAAACCGGGGTGCCATACGGCAGTGCCCCTGGTTGTTCCCATGCACGGTCTGCCAGTTGGACCTGAGGGGAGACTGGGGGGCCCTTGGGTGATATCGTGGAGGGAGATGGAGGGAGGGAGGGTCTCTGCAATCCTCAAAGTGCTCATGACATGTCTGAAAGGGAGGTGAGGGCGTGATGGGGCCACCATTGAGGCATAGAGAAGGATGAGTGGACATGAGGCCAGTCCCTCCCCTGAGCTAATCTGAAGCCCTGCTGCTGTAGTGTGCGGCCGGAGGCTGCCTCATTGAGCTGGCACAGGAGCTCCTGGTCATCATGGTGGGCAAGCAGATCATCAACAACGTGCAGGAGATTCTCGTCCCGTGAGTCACCCCCACCCAGCCCTGGGCAGCATCCAGGGACCGTGGGACCTGGGAGTGTCCGGGGCAGCAGCCCGGCCCGGCCCCAGCCTGGAGAGGAGGTGGAGGGAATGCAAGTCCGGCCCCTCCTGGACCTTAAGGCCTCATGTGCAGGGTGGGAGGAGGGTCTGCCCCAGCCACTGCCCCAGCCCAGTCCCGTGGGCTCTATGGCGCCCCCACCTTCTGTGGTTGCTGAGTGGGCTCTCTCGCCCCAGGGCCAGCTTTGGTGCGGGGAAGAGGGCTGGGTTCCTGGGCCCTGCCCTGCCCATGCCCGCCCACCCTGCCTGCAGCCCACTGCAGTGGGGCCAGGCTGTTCCTGGGCCTCCCTAACCTCCAACGCAGCACCAGAGGGAGGAGCAAGGGGAGGCCTCAGGGGCCCTTACCAGGGACGCCCTGACCACTGGGGTCCCATCTCCTCAGGGCCACCCCCACTGGCACCATTGTGGCCCCATCAAGGCAAGTGGGCACCCCTCCCAGACCAGGCCCTTGCAATGGACTGCCCAAGGCTGGATCTGACCTAGACACCCTCCCACCACCCCCCTGCACACCAGATATCCGTGCCCTGCCCCCTACGGCTGCTCCTGACTCGGCATCGACTCCCATGGGGCACCACAAACCGTAGCTGTGGGGCCTTGGCCAACCCACGTGCCCTCTTTGGGTGGCACTCCTTCTCAGGGCAGTTGGTGCTCTGAAGCTGAGTTCACGGAGACCACGAGTGCAGGGCACAGCTCAGTACCTATCAGGGGCAGGGGCTGGACAAGTGACAGTGTGGCGAAGTAACATGCACACGTGCCCCCACGTATGACAAAGCAACATGCACAGTGCCCCTACTGGCACAGCGATTGTCCTGATCTGCTCCCTCCCAACCCTGACATAGCTCTTGGCACCTCTCTGAGTTCCAGGAGGAACCCGTTCCCCCAAAGCTTCCATGAGCAATGCTGATTTTCCTGCGGGGGCTGCAGGGGAGCCAGGGGAGAGGTGGTCCCCCCCAGAAGGACACAGATGCTCTCATCAAGTCTGTTCTGCCAAGGCCTCACCCCTGCTGTGCCCACCTTGTGGCCCCAGACCCTTGTCTCCCTGCTGCCCTTTAGCTGCAGAGCAACCAGGACCAGCCTGGAAGGCAGGGTCATTTTCCTGGGTGTCTCCATCTCCAGGAAGCTCAAGGGCTGGTGGCAGAAGTTCCGGCTGCGCTCCAAGAAGAGGAAGGCGGGCGCTTCCACGGCGGCTGGCCAGGTGCCCTGGGAGGCAGACTACGAGCTGCTGCCCTGTGAGGGCCTGTTTGACGAGTACCTCGAAATGGGTAGGGCCACGTTAGTGGCCACGGCCAGCACCGTGGGCAGGGAGGGGCCGCCGCACCACTCAGGGGGCTGCCTCACATTCCTCTGTCTGCATCTACTTTGAAACGTGATGTATGTACGGGTGAAGGTGGGGACACAGGGTCCCTGGTGGAGCCAGGCCTGCAGACAATCAGAGAAGGAATTGGGGTTGGAGTCGGGCGCGGCCAAGAATGGCCAGCCGAGGGTGGGAAGGGGCAGCACCCTGGGCACAGGCCTTCAGAAGAGGACCTGGGGGCAGTTGATGAGGCTCTCATTGAGTTTCCTTAATCTCCTCCCACCCCAGAAAGCTTGGCCTGAGCCTCCTGTAGGCAGCAAGAAAGAAGCAGGGTCTCGGGAGAGGCGGGCCCTGGGGGCCGGAGACAAAGGCCCTCCCAGAGGGAAGGCTACACCTGTGAAGCCGTGGGCCTGGGGAGTTGACTTTCTCCAGCAATTTTCTCGATGCCCACACTCTTTGCTGGACCCTCAGCTGTGCCCTTGCCAGCTGGTGGCCCATGCCTGCGGCTCATTCCTCACACTGGTGGTGTACTTTTTGAGAGCTGGGTCTGTGTCTAATGTCAGTACAGTTCCTGCAACCCAGGGTCTTACTCTGAGATAATGGAGGGGGAAGAACATGGCACGCTCCTAATCCAAAGTGCTGCATCTGAGCCAAACACACTGCTCTGAGCTCCCCAGCAGCCAAAGCAAAAAGGGTGACAGTAGTGGCATTGTTCTATAGACAAAAGGGGGCAGGACAGTTCACAAGGGAGAGACATGCTTTTTCATGATAACGTGTGAGTGGGGTTGACCTTGTGTGTCCCTACTCCAGTGGACAACAGGCAGTGCGACCCGATGCTCTCCTTAGCAATTTTACAGAAGACCCAGAACCCCTTCCAAGGAGCCATTTCCTGAAGCTCCCCTGAGACGGAGCGAAGGGAGGAGAGGTGGTGAAGGGAGGAGCCAGCCCTAAAATCAGAAGCAGGTTTCTGCACCCTCTCCAGCCATGAGCCCACAGGGTGGGCTCGGCCCTGGGGGAAGAGTTCGAGTCCGTGCCCCCAGGGAACATGCGCATCCAGCTGGGCGTGAGCAGTCAGGGAGGCGTCCTGGTGGAAGGGGCCCAGGAGCTGAGCCTACAGGAGGAGTAAGAGCAAGAGGATAGGGGTGGCCGGAGGTTGAGACCGTTGTGGACAGAGAGGTGTCCCCAGGGCCTCCGTGAAGAGCGTACGTGGCGGGTTTACAGCGGGCAGTGGCGGCCGTGCGTGGCAGGCGCGAGTGGCCCTCACCACCAGCTGACCCCGGGGGCGCGGGCGGGCAGGGCTCCGGGTCTGTGGCCGGCGGTGACCCGCGTCTCCCGCAGTGCTGCAGTTCGGCTTCATCACCATCTTCGTGGCCGCCTGCCCGCTCGCGCCGCTCTTCGCGCTGCTCAACAACTGGGTGGAGATCCGCCTGGACGCGCGCAAGTTCGTGTGCGCGTACCGGCGCCCGGTGGCCGAGCGCGCGCAGGACATCGGCATCTGGTTCCACATCCTGGCGGGCATCACGCACCTGGCGGTCATTAGCAACGTGAGCGCGCGAGGGACCCCTTGGCGGGGGGGCGAGGGCCGGCGGGGGGCCGGGGAGGGGCGCTGGGCCCCGCGCTGACCCCCCGGCCGCCCAGGCCTTCCTGCTGGCTTTCTCGTCGGACTTCCTGCCGCGCGCCTACTACCAGTGGAGCCGCGCCCGCGACCTGCGCGGCTTCGTCAACTTCACGCTGGCGCGCGCCCCGCCCGCCTTCGCCGCGGCGCACAACCGCACGTGCAGGTGAGGCGGGCTCCAGGTGCAGGGCGGGCGCCGGGGCGGGGCTGGGGGGAGGGACAGAGAGGGGCGCCAGGGGGAAGAGGCCAGGGGGAGAAGCTCCCTATGGGAAGGGACCGGGCCTGACGGACGGGGAGGAAAGAAAGGCCCAGAGAGCCTGTGGCCCCGGCGCCCTGCATTTCCTGCCTCTGGAGCCCGCACGTTTTCAAACACACCCCAGACGGATGCCGGCCCCTGAGGACATCGGCGGTCATGGGGCCATCGGTGGTCAGCAGTACTCAGCACGGTGGGAGCGGACTGTGATTACCGATCCCATTCCTCCTATGGGTGTAGGTTTATTTCCCTTTTCTATTTCTTCTTGAGTCAATTTTGGTAATTATTTTTTACCGAAAACTCCATTTCAGCTAAGCTTTAAAATGTAATGACACAAACATTCTCTCATGATTTCCTTAAGCTCTCCTGTTTTTGTAGTTATGGCCCCATTTTCTTTCTAGATGCAGTTTGTCTTTTCTTTCCTCTTAATATCAGTCTTCTTTAGCTCACTTGTTTTCACTTTCCTGGGTTTTCATAAACGAATGTATGTCTATAAGTTTACTTGAACATACCCCTTAAAAGCCTCATTCCATTAATGTTGATAATACTTCTATTCTTTGCTTGTCAGTATTTCACAACTTCAGTTGTGATTTCCCTGTTTATCCATGAATTATTTGGGAGAGTAAGTTCCCAAACACATGGAGTTTTCTTTTGCTCCTTTTAAAAAATCATTGAGGGGCGGGCCCGGTGGTGCAGCGGTTGGGTGCGCGCGCTCCGCTGCTGGCGGCCTGGGTTCAGATCCCGGAGGCGCACAGACGCACTGCTTCTCCGGCCACGCTGTGGCGGCGTCCCACATAAAGTGGAGGAAGATCAGCACGGATGTTAGCCCAGGGCCAGTCTTCCTCAGCAAAAAGAGGAGGATTGACATGAATGTTAGCTCAGGGCTGATCTTCCTCACACACAAAAAAATGATAAAAAATCATTGATTCTGGTTTAATTGCTTGGAGGTCAGAGAACCTGAAGTAATGATGAAAATCTCTCACTTCTTTTTTTCTCCTGTGAGGAAGATTAGCCGTGAGCTAACATCCATTGCCAATCCTCCTCTTTTTGCTGAGGAAGACTGGCCCTGGGCTAACATCCATGCCCATCTTCCTCCACTTTATGTGGGACGCTGCCACAGCATGGCCTGACAAGCGGTGCGTCAGTGCGTGCCTGGGATCCAAACCCCGGGCCGCCAGCAGCGGAGCGTGAGCACTTAACCACTACGCCATGGGGCCAGCCCCTATACAGAGTTTTAATTACTGTTTAAAAACACACAAAAACATTTTTAGTCATTTGTTAATCACATCTATTTGGTGTATTTTATTAACTTCTGTGTTTACAGTAGTTTCTTATGCATTGCCTTCCCTCTGAGTTCATTTTTCTTCTTGCTGAAGTATATCCTTTAATAGCTCTTTCAGGAATGGTGTGTGGTTGGTGAACTCTTATGTATGTTGTTTTTTGTATTCTGAAAATATCTCTATCTTTGTCCTTCAAATACCAGACATAAAATTCTAGTTAAGAGTTATTTTCCCTCAGGTCTTTGGAAATATTACTCTATAATGACCTGGTTTTTCTTTTTGGAAGCATTCGTAGCATTTACGTTTTTTTTCTCATTTTCCTTGATTTGTATCACTAACTGGTATCTGTCATGGTGGAATTTTATTTAAAAGTTTCTCCAGCCAGCCCAGACGGCCTAGTGGTTCAAGTTTGGCACTCTCACTGCTTCAGCGGCCCGGGTTGTTTCCTGTTTGTGGAACCACACCACCCCTCTGTCAGTTGCCATGCTGTGGCGGCGGCGGCTCACACAGAAGAACTAAAAGGACTTACAAGTAGAATACACAACCATGCACTGGGGCTTTGGGGAGGAAAAAAAGGAGGAAGACTGGCAACGGATATTAGCTCAAGGCAAATCTTTCCCTGCAAAAAAAAAAAAAAGTTTCTCGTTGAGACTCAGAATGTGTTGTTGATCTAAAGAGTGAGGTCTTTCTTTAGTTCTGGAAACATCTCCATTTTATTCCTTCAGATAGTGCTTCCCCACTCTTCCTTCCTTTCTCATCTTCTGGAACTCCCATTATGTTGGAGCTTCTCCATTTCTCCTTCATGTCTCTTGAGTGCTCTTTTATATTTTTAAGTCTTTTTGGCTCTCTATATTGCATTCAGGGTCGTTTCATCATGATTGTCTTCCATTTCCCTTGAAAATCTTAATTTTCAAGATTTTTGGTTTTTTTCTTTTCCTACGAAGTTGGCCTTGGTAATGCTTTCCGTGGAGTGCAGTATGTAAGTTTATGTCACAAAATGGAATGTCACATCTTGCCAAAAGACATATACAGGAAGATGTCAAAGGATGACAGGGTGACCACTCGACCTGAAATAGCAAGCAAAGCTGACTGACAGGCCTGTCCCAGTAGGGAGGGCTGCGGTGGGCAGGCCGCCTCTGAGCAGAAAGGACTGCTGACCTTATATAATGGCACATTTTCATGGTGTAAGTAGGCTGACACCACCTGTAGAAGCACAGACATCGGATTGTCACGTCTACTAGACAGTAGGGCATTTGCCCCTGTGGGGCCCAGTGTAGCCCGGTAAGGGAATGGGACAGTCCAGCCCCTCCCCCCTGTTGGAGCCCCAACAGTTAAAGCGAAAGGTGCTGCAGAGTATCCTGTCTGGGAATATTTCCTGCTTCAGGCACCCTTAGTGGTAAGCCAGGCCCAGGATTACAGATCAGGGAGGGAAAAGGTGGAGAAGTTGAGAAAGGCATCTGCCACCCACCAGGCTGAGCCCCAGCCCTGGCTCTTCACAGTGAGTCTCACGTCTCCTGCAGGTATCGGGCTTTCAGAGACGACAATGGACATTATTCCCAGACCTACTGGAATCTTCTGGCCATCCGCCTGGCCTTTGTCATTGTGTTTGAGGTAGTGAGGCACCTCTCAGTTCCTCTGTCGGCATCCCCCACTGGCTCTTGCAGCCTTAACATGAGGCCCACCTCCCTAGGATGCTTTGCCTAATCCCACCATGTGGCACGGGGGGGGGGGGGTTGGTGCAGGGTTCTGGCACTTCGTGTTCTGTCACCTTGGTCAAATTGCAGTTCTTCTCTGCATCTTTGTTTCCCCATCTGGAAAGTGGAGTTAATCCCTGCCTGGCCTCTGTCTCTGGGCTGTGTGGACGTCAGAATGCTCTGGGCACTGCGGAGTGTCCCTGGGAAGCTCCACGGGGACGCGGAAGCTGGGGGTGGTCTCTGTCGTCGTGGCCTCTGCCTCTTCCAGGCATTTCCTTTTCTGTACTGCTGCTCTCCAGCTCAACCCACACCTGGGGGCAGGTTGCCCAGACCTGGCCCTGTGAAGGCCACTCTGGGCATTTGTTCTTAACTAAGCAGTGGGGTGCCCTCTCCCACTGCTCGTACCATCCCCTGCTCCCAGCATGTGGTGTTCTCCATCGGCCGGATCCTCGACCTCCTGGTACCTGACATCCCCGAGTCCGTGGAGATCAAGGTGAAGCGGGAATACTACCTGGCCAAGCAGGCGCTGGCCGAGAACGAGGTGAGCCCCCCCACCAGCCCCAACGCTTCACCTTCCCTCGTCCATCGGTGGGGGGGCCCCAACCCGCTGCTCTGCTTCAGCGCATGATGGAGTGAACAGTGGCAGAGTCTAATCACACTCTCCTCCTCCTCGCTTCCTGGAGACAGGCTCTCTTGGGAACAAATGGAGCGAAGGACCACCAGCCCCTGGCTCAGGAGATGTGACTGGGCCCACAAGCCTAGCATGCCAGGAGCTGGCAGGGCCTCCACAGACCCTTCCCTCTGAGGTCACAGGGGTCACCCCAAGAGTTGGCACCTGAGGGACCTGGAGCCAGACCCACCTGGAGGGCAGAGACCTCGCCGCCTCAGAAGTGATGCCAGGCTGTCAAAGGCTCACTGCTCTCAGAAGCCACAGCCGGTCTCTTGTCCCTCCTTGGCCCAGAGCTGCCCTGCCCTTGGCTGCCTTGGGCCTCTGCTCAGGCACCCTGCCTCCCAGGTCCTGGTCATGGCCCCCACTAGCCACCCCTTGGAGTCCCCAAGGCCAGCTCATTACAGCAGCAGCGCGTGGAGGGCCAGGACATGCTGTGCCCAGGGGAGCCCAGGGGCATCCAGTGGCTTGTGGGGGCGCTGCCCCCTGCCATCTCCCTCCCAGCCCCATGAGCCAGTATGCTCTCCTCACTCACCCCGGGGCAGAATGGCTTCTCGTCCGACATGCTGGCTCCCATCAGCCCCCTCTGGGCACACGGCTGCTTCCCGCCCAGCTCCTCGCCTCTCTACTCTCAGAGCACTGGTCCTTCTAGGCCCTGTCCCTCCACTGCTTCCCATCCCCAAGGCCCCTCACCCACCCCTAGACCTGGTCTCTTGCTGGGCAAAGAGGAGGTGGCCTCCGTGCTGGCCTCTCCCCATTCACACTTCCCACTCACCCCTCAGCCCTTGGACACGGCTCATCTGCCACTCAAGCCAGTGGGCTTTGGGGTCCTTTCTGTTCTCCCTGGTGCTCCTTGTGCCTGCTGTCGTTTGAATGATGGACTGTCTCCTCTCCAGGCCCACCTCGCCTCTGCCTACCCTATCTACTTGCGGTGCTGCCTGCCCCCCAGCACGACCCACCTGTCAGCCCCTGCCCCCTCTGTGTTCGTCAGAGCTGCGGAGTCAGCTCACCACCCCACCCTGCCCCCGCCATTCCCCATTATCCACCAAGGCCTCTTGATTCCGTCTTCTATTTCCTGAACGCGGCCCCCCACCCTTTCCTCCAAGCCATTATCAACAGCCTCTGAACAGCAGTCAGGCTAGAACGAAGCCACTCCCTCCTCGCTTCCCCGGAGGCTGCACACCCCTGAGGAGTGGCTTCTCCCCCACCTCCCGCAGGCCGTGAGGCTGGGGCCAGTACAGGCCTCACAGCCGCAAGCTTCCAGATGGGGAAGGTTTGGAAGGAGACAATTTTATTCCCTGACCAGTGAAACACTTGGAGGACATTCCCGCAATCCTGGGTGGATCTCCTTCATTTTTCTGTATGTTTATACATAATCATTTTCAAAATCGGGGGCATAATAGTACATGCAGTTTGACCTCGTCCACTGACTGGTTTCATCAGCCTCTTTTCACCTTTACCTTCTGTTAACTTGGTGAACTGCCGGGGATAACCCCACCACAGGTGCTTCCCAACTTAGCTCTGTCACTTACTGTTGGGCACACAGGATTCTCTTCCTCTGCCGCTATCAATTACACTGGAATCAACATCTGGAAACATACTGTGCTCACCTTGATTTCCTCAGGGTACACTCCTGGAATTAGACTGCAGTGTCAAAAAGGATATGCAGTTTTTGAAATGCTTTGATGCATATCTTGGAAGTGCCAATCCACACCTTTCTAAACAGCATCCTTGCCATCACGGTATCATCATTTAAAAACCTGCTGCTCTGGCCTCAGGCAGCACCATGCTCACTTCTGGCCGAGTTTGCTGACAAGGAGGCTGAGCGCTGAGGTGGTTGTATGGCCATTGGCATTTCTTCTGGATTTGTCTCTTGTTCACCCCTTTTAGAAAGCGGTGTCCTGAGCAGTGAGGAGCCACTGGGCAGTGCCCTCCGCTGTGCACCGTGCCCGTATCACAAAATCCACAATATCACAAAATCCACAAGTATCTTCTTCCAGCTGCTTTGTTTTTGCTGCTCTCTCAAACTTTATAATTTTAAAGTAAATTTATTGAAACAAAACGCTCAAGTCATACCTCAGGCTTTTATAAAGCGAACACACCCACTGTAACCAGCATGTGAGTCAAGACGCAGCCCTGATACCAGGACCAGATGCTGGGGTGGGCCCCTCCCCCCATGACCGTCTCCCACCCAGAGCAGCCACCACTTCAGCCTCTGATGCCAGGCATGAAACTAGGGAACCCAAGTGTCTCATCTCTTTCGTGGGACACCCCGACCATGAGCTCTACCCATGGTGTTGTGCATGACCGGCCCATCCTAGCTGCTGCATCACGCTCCCTGGATGAAGATGCCACCACTGATCCATTCTGCCTGGCTGTTAGGAATAATGCTGCCATCAAACTCTGGTCCCTGTCTCCTGGCACCCACTGGTGTCCCTCCCGTAGGGTGCATGTTGAGCAGTGGAATTGCTGGGCCATTGGGTAAACTATTTCCCTTTAACATGGTGGGGATGAGACCACCCTCTCAGAAGCGAGGGAATCTAACTCCCTTGCTCCACTGGACTCCTGGAGGTATCTTCTATCACGTGGATGACTGGAGTGACTCCTTCAGCTGAGGGCTGCTCCTACTCCCCAGCTCGGCATTGGCCTGGGTAGGGGGGCCTGTCCTGAGAATACCACCGAGGTTCACTGATGGAGATATTTCAGACAGAATGGAGCTAAGGGAAGTGGCAGGGTGCTGCTTCCAGGCATGAGAAGCCAGGGCAGCAAGGAGACTGTTCACCTTCAATAGTGACAGGAGTCCAGGGGCAGACAGCCACCCTCGCCATGACCACTGCTGGCTTCCCAAAGTGGCTCCTGCAGGGGCAGTTAATGCAGGGTTGAGAACTATATGTCAGCAGGGAGAATTGCACCAAAGACTGGAACCATGTATGTATGTCCAGTTACCACTCAAGAGCATGCTGAAGACACCCCTGGTTTCACAGGACCGAGAACACACACGTGGCGTGATAAAACGAGTCCCAGCACACTACATCTGGTTTCAGGTTTTATTTTAGAATTTATAAAATTCCAGTGTCATCCATATTCATGAGCCTTTTTACACATGTTTGCATATAATCTCCAAATTCCAAAGTTAAGGCCAAGGGATGGATTGTAGCTATGGACACATAACGATATGGAAGACATTCAACAAAGAGGAAATGGACACGCATGCCTCATCCCCACCCAGGACTCGCCGGCAGCACGGGAGGCCGCAGGAAACCAGGCCTGGGCAGTTATCTCATCACCCTGATTAACAACCAAAAACAGAGCAAGACCCTAAACACAGTTGAGGAAAGGAGAGTTTGCATCTATGACATTTAGCAATAAATGCAGATGTGCAAAAATTTGTTGTGACAATTTAAAATTCACCTTCACGCAGGGCGGGGCTGGACGTCGCAGAAGGATGTTGTAGAAAAGACCAAGGGAAGAGGAGGTTTGGGAAGATCCCAGAGGGGGCTGAGGGGTGAGGCGGAGGAGCAAGCTGGCCAACAGGAAAGGCTCCAAACTCGTGCAGATGGAAAAGAGCTGCTGGCCCTGTCCCCACAAAGCTCCCCAGAGCTGCAGGGGATGCTCCTGGAGACAGGCAGGGAGCGCCTTTCCTTCTTGCTCCATCTCCATCACTCGACCTGATGTGGGCTCACCCAGCCGATGTAGCCTCACCCCGCCGATATAGCTGAAGCAAATGTTCTTTCCTGTCCCGATTTACCATTCTTATCAGCGGGCACGTTTAAGGCTGCTTGAGCTAATGGGAACTTGCAGAGGCAACCCAAGTTAGACTTAGGGTAAGCAATTCTTGGTCTATTCAGGAGTTCACAGTCTAAAGATCACCAAACTTGACTTACTAAAGTAAGAGTGACAAACTTCGGAGGGGTGGGTGGGTAGATGGTCAAAGCAGAAATGACAGTCCCGGGGGCACAAGCCAGCTTCTCTGGGAACTCCAGCATCCGGGACGGGACAACTTGAGAGTGGGTTAGTCACCTCCGTCGGGGGAAAGGCAGGGATGGAGAACAGACGACCCAGAGACAAAGGCCCATCCTCAGTTCTCAGACAGCACCACAGAGGCGCTGCCTGGGGTCACCTCTCCTCTCCAGAGCAGGGCACCTTGTCTCTCCAAGGCCTATGCTCCAACACCCAGAATTACCTACCACACCCGAGAAAGAGTGGACCACTCCCTCAGCTGCACTCGGTCCTCTGGTCCAGGCCAAGCAACAGCCTCTCTCTACCCCAGGACCATGAAGCCTGCCTCCCAAAGCCAACGACCAGGGGCTTGCATGCAGCAGCCGAATATGCATCAGAGAACAGCCTAGGGAGGGATGGCATGTGCGCTCCCCATTCTGGACCAGCCCACCGGCTGCTGAACCACCTGTACATGAGGAAGGGCGCAGCCTCGAACCCAAGCACTCAGTCTCCTGTGCCCAGGGCCGCAGCAAACACACGATCACCAGAACCGTCTAAATGAAGAGGCTGAGTGCTGGGCGGTGCTCCCCTAAGCAGGACACCACTGCCACCCTGGCTCTGAGGTAGAAAGAAGGCTACTGAACACACGGGTGAGGGGAGGGCAAGCTCGGGGAGCTGCGAGGGCGTAAAGACAAGTAGGCCACTACATACAGTGAGGGGCCCTCACGGAAGAGGAGGGGGTGGGCCGCCCCTCTCCCCATCCCGAGTTTCTCAGGTCCTACAGGCCACTATGACAGCCACAGTGGACTCAGACGGCAGACGTGCAGTCTCACCCTCAGGCTTCGCTCACCAGACTTAGGGCCGCCAGTGCCCAGGAGTGTGGGGGCGGGGACCCCTGGTGCTTTCAGAGCCCAATGCAGGAGAAGCCAGGCCGCCTGAGAACCTGGTTCACCCTCTGCCTTGCTGCCCCCTCTGGCTCCACTGCGGCTCTCCTTTGGGTGCAGGTGGCTGCCCGTGTGCAAACGGGGTCCTCTTCCCCACCCTGTGGTCTGGGCTAAGTGGGCTTTCTAGCAGCTGGAAGAAGGCGGACTGCATTCTACAAGGAGCGTCTGGATGACAGGCAGGGGGAGAAAGGGAGGTGGAAAAGGAAGAGGGCAAACGTTTTGGCTTTTATAAAGTCAAGGAAATTTATTTCCTGAGGTCATGACACAGGAAGTGGACTCAGCCACAGCTGTGGAGCTCTCATAGTCGAGGCCAGAGCCTTACTGACATGCTGGGTGGACCAGGAAGCTTATCGTGAAATGTCCAATTACCTCTGTTAGTGTTCACAATAGTGGAGAGCCGTCCCAGAGCAAAGGTGTCAGGGAGCAGGTCCTGAGCATGCGCTGGGTACCGGCCAGGCCTGAGAACCAGCTGCACTCAGCGCCGGGCATGCCCGGCTTCACTGCGAGACCTCGGGGAAGGGGGAGCGTCAACAATTTACGGAGGGTCCAGCTGCTGGGTCAGATTGAGACAAACTGTTGTGTGGTGGGGTTTGGGTCAGCAGGCTGGAGAGGTTTCCGCTTTTTGATCATTATCGTTTGGGGCCCCAAGGGAGGGTTTTGGGGGCCACCTGAGCCCCAAAGCTGGGAAATTCCTCAGAGCTGCTCATATCAGGAGCCTGTTTGGGGAGAGAGGGCACAGCTTTAGTAAGGGGGGTCACACTCAAGCAGCTTCCAAAAGGGCCGCCACCCTTGGACACTGGGCCCGCCTGTGGCTAGAGGCAAGTGTGACAAGCGCTCCCACCTCCCGGGGCACATGGAGGGCGGGAGAACACCACTAACCTTCTCGCTGCTGTTGGCGGTCCAGGGAGCGTCCCGCACCACAAAGCCCTTGGATGGTGCCTTGGACTCCTCGTGGGCTGGGGGCTTCATATACACCTGCAGCGCCTCGCTGTCCACCACATCAGCCAGCTGTGTGCAGAGGTGGGGGGGTCAGTCTGCAGCAAGAATGCTCAACAGGCACCCACTGTGCTCGCCCTAGTCTCAGACATTTGGGGCTCACTCAGGGGCTATCTTGCACCTGGCCTGCCTCTAGAAGTGCGTGCATACTGCCTCACTGTCACCCCAGGGCAACAGTGCCAATCAGACCCAGGGTGCCCCAGGCACAAGCCTGCTGCCCACCCAGCACTCACATATTCCTCCTCCAGGTTGAGGATGTGGTCGATGGCTTCTTCCACGTTCTCCGGGAGCCCTGTCACGGTGACGCAGTTGGGGTCTGGGGCACCGCTCTGTGGGAAGCGAATGTCCACCTGGAAGAAGCACACACAGCAGCTGAGGTGGCTCTGAGTGCCCCGTCTGAGGGCTTTGTCACCATTATGTGTGGTCAGAAATAGTCGATTTCTAGTCAAGTGTTCCCCTCTGAGTTAACAAAAATGTAAAAATCTGGGTTCATGGTTGGTCCCTCCTCATCAAGATGTGAGCCCAGTGCATTGCGAGAGCACCTTGTGTTCAGCAGGCAAAGGGGGAATGGGCGGAGTTGTCCCGTATTTTGGAGCTGTGCAAGCCTTGACATTTGCAGAACTCATCAAGGAACCTGTCTGAGGTTGGAGGCCAGCCACACTGTCTCCTAGTGGCCTACCTCAGGGGTGCCACCTTCCGCAGGCTGGTGCAAGGTACTGACCAACAGTGTCAACTATACATAGCTGTGACCCCACTCAACCTTACCACCTGAGCTTCCTCCCCTTCTGACCCCAAGTGTGGTCAGCAGCCGAGGCAGGAAGACTTGAGGCCCCAGGCAGTCCCTGGTGGAGTGGGAAGCACACAACGATCTCACCCACTGTGCTCCCAAGACTTAACACCCCTCGTGGTTGGGTTGGGGGTTCACCTTGAATTCATCCATGATTTTGCGGATGGCTTTGCCACGGGCACCAATGATACGGGCGTGAACACGGTGGTCTAGTGGCACGTCCTCAGAAACCATCTGTTCGAGCTCACCTACAATTTTCAATATAGCGTCCCGGGCAGCTTCTGTATTCTTTTCATACCCTGTGATAGTAATTTGGTCCTGCGGCTAAGAAAGGAGAATCCCGTCAGAAGAGGGAAGGTGCACAGGGACTGCTGACTGTAAGTGATGAGAGGTGAGGCAGGTGCCCAGGGGGCCTGGCTGAAGGGCTGAATGAGTGAGGTGGGCCTCACCTTAAGGAGAAAAACTGACCCTCGCAGAAGAGAAACAAGGTAGAAAAGAACGTCAGGCAGCTGATTTCCAACAACAGGTTAACAATTGAGCTCCTGCACCTCCCAAACTCCACCCACAGATGGTCTTGTACAGGAAGAGACAGGGCACCTGCCCACAAAGACAAGGAGACACCAGCAGGTGAAGGCACAGGGAAGGTCCCCTCGGGCCCCTTATCTGGAGGAGTCTCCACTGGAGACAAACTGACCTGGAGAGAAAGTGCCAGAAACTGTGGCCGGCACGCCATACCCACAGGGTGCCCCCAGTCCAGGGCCTCCTTTTACCACACAAATGGACAGGAGAGAGCCCCAGACTCCTAAAGAGTGAGCAAAGCAGACGGATAGCTCAGGCACAGAGAAGGAAGCGTGAAAACAAAGTTAACAAATGTAAACCACACTCTTCAGGATGGGAGAAAATATCACACCCACAAAAGAAAAACAGAACACAACATAAAAGGACCAGAGAACGAGAACAAACACCTGGAAACGAAACAGAGGAGCAGAACTTATAGAGATCAACCCCAAGAAAAAGGCAGAGCAGAGCAGAGCTGAGCCAAGCACCTGTCTTGATGAAGCAAATGCGGACGGTGGGAGGAGGCGGGGCTCCACCCAGAATCTGCCCAGGAGAGCCCAGAAACCCCCACCAGCCAGTGAGCGCATCACCATGTGTAGCCACAGGCACAGAACAGACTTTGCAAATGGAAGCACAATTCTCACAGGAAAGAGCTGCATATGAAAAAAATGTGGCTGCTCTACCCTACTTTGGCCTCATGGAATATTAACTGAAATAGTCTAAACACTAAATAATGACTTTAAAAAATTCATGATTACGTGGCAAAGTTGAGGGAAATAAAAGGTAGTGAAGATGAGGGGCTTAGAGCTAATAAGTTCTCAAGATCAAGGAAATTAAAAATTTAAGTTAAAAATAAAAAAGAACAGCAGTATAAACGAATTCTTTAGAAATAGGTAAACAGAGGAAGAGGCAAGGCAAAGAATGCCCATGGGGAAGGATCAGGACCAGGGTGCACAGAGGAAGCAGATCCTGCGGGTCAGCCCTTGCAGGTCTGCCTGACTTTCTAGTAAAAGGCTGGGGAGGGAAGAAGGTTCAGCAGGCAGGAGGCCCGCCACTGTGTGTGGACGCAGGGCTGACAGGGGTAGGGCCAGAGTCTGCAGAGGCTTGTTGGGATTTGCTAGCCGGAAAATTCTAGTGAATCATTTCTGGGCACTCTGCTGTATACCAAAGACTGCAGGAGACCTGGGCAGAGACTGGGCTGTCACTGAGTGCAAGGCAGTGCAACCTCACCGAAGCCTGGGCTACCTCCCCGAGGCCAAACCTGAGGGGCAGGAAAGGCCTGGGTGGCAGGAGTGAGTGATGGGCTGGGGCCGTGCCCACTGAGGGGGGCTGCCTTCCACTGTTCTCTGAGCACAGCGGGCAGCAGGGCGCTCCTTTGCAGGGCTCCCCCTGTGGGCACAACTGTGCGAAAAGGACCCAGCCGGAGCCCCAGCTCGCTGCCAGAAGTGACCAGGTGGGCATAGGAAAAATCCCCCAAGTCTGCAGAGCAACACAACCCTGTTGGGGAAACCGCACCCAGGAGGCATGGGCCAATGTGGGGCCCAAACCAAAACTAAATCCTCAGAGACCTGCCACTCTGGACTCTACCCTCTCACCGCCCATCTGGACACATCCTAAGTTTGCCTGGTCACCGTTCCCAGGTCAGGACAAAGGTCAACAAGAGTCCATCTGCCCCCAAAGTGCTTCGACCATGGCATCTGCCCAGAGCATCATTCTTACCTGGTTCCCATCGTCCTTATCAGGAAACTGGATGTTCACGTCATGCTCTAAGCGGATTTGGGTGATCACTGCCCCCTTTCTCCCAATAATTTTGGGATGGTATTTGGGGTCTACAGTGACGCTCAGCTTAAAACTCCTTAAAGCCTACAGACGAAACAAGTGAGAATAAGGCAAAGAGTAGAATACTTCAGAGTCTGGACCTTCACCCTTGCACGCCTCCATGCACCCCCATTCCATCCTGGACCTGGAAGGTATCCATTCTGACCTCGGCAATACAAACAAGACATGGCTTTCCCGTTAGCCTCTGTGCCACCTTCCACTATCAGCTACTAATGAGAACCAGAGGACTTGACCACTCCACAACTAAGTACGTAATCCTTCAGAAAAAGACCTAGAGGCCTGGCTGGTAACTGAGGAGAAGCTGTACACTCGTAACTAACTGAGAAGCTGTGCACTAGTAACCAACAGGGCTGGGACAGGACGTAAGGAGGTCTTGGACGAAAAGTATACAAATGTTCTGAGTCTGTCAGGGTTGGGGTACAGAACCAGGCCAAAAAGAAAAGAATTTTAGAAGGAAAGTGCTAAGGCAAAGATACACAGCTCCAGATGTCCATGGCCAGACGCTCAGGCTATGACCTGGTCAGAAGACAGACCCCAGAGCCGGTGCTGGGACTGAGACAATGGGGACCGCACCCAGACTGCATGAGATGTCCAAGCTCCACCCCATCACAGACTCCAGAGAGTCATGGCCCTCAGGGAGAGGTCCATTACCCTCACATAATCTGTGACGGTGCTTCAAGTTTCCAGAACACCCCGCCTTGCCGTGCATCACTCAGGTAATCCTTCAAACGCCAGCTCAACAGAGAGGCGAGGCAGGTCCTCGTCCCTACTCGGCAGCAGGGAAACTGTGGGGTGAGGAAGTCAGTGGGGGCCCCTCTGGCGCCCACCCTGGACCGCACAGCACATGCTTGGGGGTCTCTTCCAGGTCTGCCCAACTTTACTTTTCCTGTAAGGTTGAAGGCATCACAACATGTCTTCAGATTTACCTTTAAAAAAAATGGCTAATTAACACAGAAGTCCAATCTTGTTGCTGCTATATTAAGAAGAGAAAAGCGCCGTGCCCCTAACATTGCTTCTGATGAAAGGCTCTCCCCACAGCAAGACCTCTGGATGCTGACTGCAAGAGGGGATCCCGAGTCCACCTCCAGCCACCTGACTGAAGCGGGTGCAGTGTGGCCCAGGTGCTGGATCTCTCAGAACTCCCCTGGCGATTCTCAAGTGTGACCAAGACTGAGAATCACGGCTCTGAAGGAAGGAAGCTTCCATAGCCCACGTGGCCCCGCCTGGCACTCACCCGGTCCTCCTGCTCTGCCTGCAGCTCCTTCACACGCTCCAGTAACCCAGCCTTGGCCCGGTCCAAATTGGCAGCAAGGCCCGTGATGGCAATGATGTCAGACTGCAGTTCAGGTGCCGGCACGTGTATATTTACCTACATGGAGACAGGAACAGACCCGCGTACAGGGGATCCTGCAGGACAGAAATGTGTGTATCCGGCCCTCTCGATGGTGAGTTTGGAAGCCCTGATCAGCTCCTGTCTCACATTTGGCCACGGACTCAACTGAAGGCTCAGGACAAGGAGAGAGGGAAATGTGAAGTCTACCCTGTAGGGAGAGGAGAGCCGCTGCTCCATAAAGAGGAGCAGGAAGAAGCACCTCCACAGAGGGCCAGCGGCTGGTCCCAGAACCGTGCCTGCCCAAAGGGGTCGCGGCAGCGCAGAGCCAACAAGGGGCTGGACTCCCTGCAGCACTTGTGGGAGAGCTCAAACCCCAGCTCTGGTCTCCAAAGAACATGCAAAACAGCGTTACCTCAAACTCGTCCATCATCTTGCGGATCCCACTTCCCCTCTGCCCGATGATGTACCGGTGAAGGTCAAAGGGTACCTCCACTTCAATGGTGATGGGAACCAGTGCCTGCAGGGAAGACGGTCGAGGTTAGGCCTGAGAGCAGGGAGCAGAGCAACCCCGTGGGCTCAGCAACATGTCTTCAGAGAGTACAGGAGAAAAGCCCTATCAGAATTACAGTGTGCTTTCTGGAACACGCTGTACTGTTCCACCTGGACTGAGAATGCCACCAGGGAAAAGGACACGGAATCCAGTTTTTAGATTGATGCTGGCAGACCAAACTCTCAGACCCTTACCCCAAGCCCATGCTCCTAAATGCAGCAGGCCCCTTGTAGAAGCAAAACAAAAGAAATCCAGGAAAAACAGGGTGACTGGAGGCCTACGGAGGAGGAGTGGTGGGGCTCAGACACAGAGGCTTGTCCAGAATCCCAGCCTTGCTGAGGTCAAGGATGGGCTGTGGCCCAAGCCCATGGGGCTCACAGGGATGATACAATGCAACACGGGCACTGCCTGGACCACAGCTCACCTACTCTGTCTCCACGCCAGCCCCAACGGTCTCCCACAGCATTTACCATCACTTGACACATGACGTATTTTTGTTTCTCGTTAGTCTCTCCACTACAACACAAACACTATTTTGAATGCTGTGGTAGTACAACATTTAGAACAGTGCCAAACATGTAGGTAGCACTCAAAAGTCCTCATTGCACAAATGACTCATCCTTACAAGCCTGACATTGGCCTGGTTACCCCGTCACAGGCTGGAGGTCACGTTCACCCTGCCGCCAGTGAGACTGTCCAGCTCTGTGCTAGTTCAGGGCCCCAGGCCTCCAGGCCCAAGAGGCTGTGTCCATACAGCTGCCAGGTCCTGGTAGAGGAAGTGGCTGGTCATGCCGGCAGGCTCTGTGCTCCGGCCCGGCCTGGCCCTACCTGTGGCACAAGCCGACGTGGTTAGGGTTTACGACTACAGTGCCTCGATCCACCGACCTGCTGCCATGGGCAGCGTCATTCAGGCCATGCTTTTCCCCACCCCGTGGTGCCTGCCGTTGACCCCCCTGGGAGGGTGGGAGGGGGCCGCACGCACCTCCAGGGCTTCCTTGGCGGCCTCACATTTTTCCTTTCGGCCAGAGATGGTGATGATGTCGCACCTCCTTGGAGAGCCAGGGTCAGCCTCTTTGGCGTCTCTCCCATCCCCGGCGTCGTCCCCGTTCTCCTGGATAGCCGGCTCTACATTATGGACTAGGGAGAAAGGAAAGGGCAGTTCACAACCACAGACCCTCCGCACAGGCGTGTTCAGAATTCAGATGCTTGTTAAGCACCTATGTATGGTGGGGAAAGGGAGGAAAGACCCCAACCTGACTTCAGGAGGACACGTTCTGGACTGAGAGAGCTGATGAGACAATGTCCACACAGCGAGCCTCACACAAGCCTAGGCCTGGGCGGGCGCTGAAAGCTTCACAGTGAGCTCCACGCCTCACTTCTTCACCTTTAAAACGAAGCTAATGACCCTGGGGGCTGCAGTGGGATACACGAGCCGATGTGCAGGAGGAGCACAAAGAGGGGGAGCACAGAGCAGGGCCCACTGTGTTTGACGGAAGGTGACGAGTTCACAGACGTTCACCACAGCCTAAGTAACCCGGCATGCAATGAGGCAGCAAGGAAGGGGGGCTTGAGACAACAACTTAGGAGGGACAAGGTAAGCCTGCACCAACTTCTTAAGCCAGGAAGCAAGCAAGCAAGCTCCAAGAATGAAGGGACATGAAAGAGGACACGGAAGCAGCTGGTGGGGCTCCCGTGGGCCACACAGGGACCACGTGTGCACCAAAACCACATTCCTGGAGCACGACAGAATCCAGAAGTCCACACAACATACACAAGCGAGAGAATAAGTCAACAGACACAACCGCCTAAAGGAATCATGATCCTGGACTGAACTAGGGGGGAAGAGGTGGGCTCTGCAGGATGCTTTTAAAACCGGCAGAATTTGAATATCAACTAGGAGTTTGAGAACAGTATCACATACTGTTAGATCTTCTGAATCTGGACTGTGCCACGGTTATCTCAAACGATAGAAGAGAATGTCATTCTTCGGAAACAGCCACTATGGATAAGGGATAGGCCTGAAACTTACTCAAACGATTCAGAAAAAATAACTGCACACGTGTGTGTGTCTAAAAGGGGGTTGGATGAGAAAAACTGGTGAGTTTGGATATTAGTATACAGGATGTATCTTTTTTTTTTAATGCAATTTTTTTTTTTTTTTGTGAGGGAGATCAGCCTTGAGCTAACATCCGTGCTAATCCTCCTCTTTTTGCTGAGGAAGACCGGCTCTGAGCTAACATCTATTGCCGATCCTCCTCCTTTTTTTCTTCCCCAAAGCCCCAGTAGACAGCTGTATGTCATAGTTGCACATCCTTCTAGTTGCTGTATGTGGGATGTGGCCTCAGCATGGCCGGAGAGGTGGTGCGTCGGAGCGTGCCCAGGATCCGAACCCGGGCCGCCAGCAGCGGAGCGCGCGCACTTAACCGCTAAGCCACCGGGCCGGCCCCAGGACGTATCTTTATACTAGTCTGTGCAATTTTTTTTAGTGTGAAATTACGTCAAAACTAAAAAATAAAAATTCAAGTGTGAAATATAAATGATTTCACTAGTTTTCTACTGAAAATAGCCTGTATTCTCAGGAAAACAGGAGCTCTGTCAGCCATGATAGGCTCTGCAGGGATCTGAATATATGGGGGCACTCAGCTGGGCGGCCAGCTGGACCCGATGGACCACCTAAGACACGTCAACAGAGGGGAGAACACACTCTGTTTCAACGCGAGTAGAAAACAAGGTTTACAAAGTGAGGCTGAGATACAAGCCAGATCCTGCTCACACCAACCCCTCGCCCCGCAGGTCACCTCGCTGACCACCGTCTACCCCGCCCCAACCCTGGGGGCAGAAGCAGAACCAGGTGATGAGCAGGACACTCTTGAGTTGAAAGGCCATCCTAGAAGGGCAGTCAGCTACTTGAATGGCACCCTCCAGCAGGTAAGCAGCTGGCTGCCTTTACGTTCTGTAGCTGACCTCACAAGGGACGTGATCCAAAAGGAAGCGTGTGAGAGGTAGAGAGAGGGGAGAGGAGTGGCTGCTGTGAACAGAGCAGACATGGCCTCAACACACACGGCTTTCAGAGGACTGTGAAAAGCAGGGGAACTGAACTCAGGGGCTGCCCTGGTGTAAGAGGCTGCAGGGGTTCTGCTCTCCTCCAGCCTAGCTGCAGCCTCTAGGACATCTGAAGGGCACCTCGTCACCCTGAAGCAACTGACACAGCCCACCTCCTAGAGACCAGGGAGTGACCCTGAACTTCTGGAACCCCAGGACACCCAACAGTGTTTCAGCAGTGCACCAGCACTAGAGCACCAGGCAGGAAAGGGCTTTACCAAGACACGTGACAACCACCTGCCACCGCCTCTCCCTAGGTCAGAACCATTCACACAACTGCTTCCCATTCAGCAGAGATTTCGTCGCAGGGACCCACCTGGGTTCTCCTCTCTGTCTGGGAATTTAATTTGAACATTATAGTCCCGAGTAATCTGCTGGATCCTGGAACCTTTGGGGCCCATGACGGATCGATGGAATTTCTGGGGTATGGCACATTCAATGGTCACCTGAGCTTCCTGGGGGGAAGGCAGAGCAACAAGGAAAAAAAAAAAAAGCAAAGTTTAGCCACTTAGGGTCAGTTCACGTCCACACCACCTTCCTTTCCATCTTCTATAGCCAATTCCAAGCCCACAAATGCCCCTTTTCCAAGGTGAATCCAGAGCTCGAGGTCTGATGGGGTGGAGAGAGGAGGGACATGGGGTAGGGCCAAAAGGGTGGCCTCTTTCTGAAACACTTCCCAAAAAGACTAAGAAAGTATCAATGACTTATCCACACAAAACTGCACCACTGCTTGCTCCTACTACCCAGAACTTGAATATAACACCCTCTTCCTTGACATATAAAAGAGGGGCCCTCTTCCCCACCACATGGCAGGCAGCACTGTCAGGCGCTGCCCTGAAGGGTGGCCACATTAGCCAGGTGACATTCAGACACCGTGGCTGAGACTCCAAGAGGAGGCATAGGGCTTGATTATCAGGGAAGTTGTTCCAAGGCCACAGCAGGGAGCTCCAGGAGGGGACATGGAGGGGGCGGAGCTCTAAAGGCTGGGTTAGAAAACCCCGCACGTTCTCACATGACCTCTCCACGGAGTCACTGACACTCTGCCCTTCAATCTATCTTCTTCCCTTTGGAGAAGAGAAGAGGAGAGAAAGAAGCTCGCTCCTTGTTTAGACTGTATGTTCATAAAATTTTTTAAAAAGCTGCTGCTCAAAGGCAGCACTCTTACCGACTGTCAGGAAGGGGGCCAGACGGCTGAGATGGAGACCGAGAACCAGACAGCCACTCTCTAACCTGACGTTGAGTCCATCCTGGCCTGTCTGCCTGTGGGATGTGGAGGGAACACCGCCCACCCACTTTGCTCAGGTGGCCAGAGGGGCCAAAAACCCTGCTGAGCCCCCAGGCACCTACCAGGTCCTCGATGATCTCTTGAATACGCTTCTTGGCCGCCTCTACACAGTCCTTGGCACCCTTGAGGGTGACTTTGTCACTTTGCGTGCCGGAGCGTGGGAAGCTAACCATCACCCCACCATACTCTTCAGCAATCTCCCGCAAGACCTGGCCTCTTCGGATGACAAAATGACGGTGGTGCTTGGGGTCCACCAGCATGTAGTCTTCAACCACGTTATCCTACAGCATTGACAGAAGGAAAGGAAAGTAAACGACCCCCCGACCATGCCTAACAGAACTGACAGCAAAGGCCATGCTCCCGCTGGGCCAGCACAGGCAGCCTTACCAGGTTCTGGATCAGGGCCTCCAGCTCCTTCTGGGCCTCCCTGACAGCGTCCTCCTTCCCTATGATGGTGATCAGCTCCTGATCCTTGTCCTCCGCCGCTGGGAAAATGATGCGGGCTCCTGTGTTGTCACGCACCTTGCGAATTTTGCCGCCCCCTTTGCCAATGAGGAACTTGTGGTATTCTGGCTTGGCGCGAATGTCAACGGTGAAACTCTTGGTTTGCTGCAGAAAGTAACCCCAAATACGTTGGCCTGATGCCACCTGCCTGGCCCCTGGAGCAGGTGAATAAGAGGGCCCAGAGGACAACAGTGTGGGGTGGAATTCTCCTCACCCTGTCACCAGTGTCCCCCCAAATGCAGTTAATCAAACCCCACCAAAATATGGACTGACATCCAGAAATAATACTTGTATTTCTCTCCACCGTGATCAGAGACCCCGAGATGGTTAAGAGCACTCAGAGCCCCAGTCCTGCCACCTACCAGCAGTGACCAAACCTCTGCAGGCGACCCTCCCTCTGCAAAGGGGATGTGGCGAGTGTGGCCTTGGGGAGCGGAGTGCACACAGCACGAAGCCTAGCCACACCCAGGGCCCCACAGCACTGCTGGCCCCTCTCCCAGGCGTGGGCACTCCCACACCTCCCAACACAAGCAAAGTGCTCTGGTCCAGTCCTTCCTCCACTAATGCTACAGGTGAGCCCACGCACAGCCAGCAACATCCCATCTCAAGCTCCAAGACACCCAAGCCAACCAAGGCCTTCATCTGACACCGAGAAACCAGGGCCCAGCAAAGGCCCCAACATGGTGACCTTGTTGCTGATGCCAGCTCCTCAGGCACATTCATCTGGAGAGCACACGGGGACACCCTCCTCTGGGCTGACTCAGATACACACGACACATTCTCACTCTCCCTCCTCTTGTCCTGAAACCTGGCCCACCAGCATGAGGAAACACAAAGGAAAATTGAAGAAGGGCTGCCAGCATGCTAAACGGCAAACAACCGAATTCTGTTATCCTTTAAATGCTGGTTTTACGAAACGCCACCGAGAGAACCTTCTACTCTTCGGTCACAGACATTCATAAACAGCAGCATTACAGAAAAGCTAACAGGGTAGCTGAGCCCAACCTAGCAACATGGTAAAGAATAATATATCTAAACCAAATGGGGTTCACCCCAGAAACCAAGGTTGGTTAAACATTTAAAAAAAAAGAAATCAATCTAATATATACACTAAAAAAAGAAAAACCACATGATCCTGTCAACAGACGCAGAAAAAGCTCCGACAAAATTCAACACCCATTCCCGATAAAAACTCTCCACAAACTCAGAACAGAACGGAACTTCCTCAACATGATGGAGTGTCTGCGAGAGACCTACAGTGAAATCTCACACTCAATGGTGAAGGACAGAGTCCTGTTCCCAGAGGTCATCACCAAGGCGGGGCTGTCACTCTCACCACTGCTATTCAACATCGTACTGGAGGCCCAAGCAACGCAGTAAGACACGACAGACAGCACACAGATCGGAAAGACAGGAATGCAACAGTCTATTCCCAGATGACGTGCTTTACATACAAAACTCACAGGAATCCACAAAAAAAGCTACTGCAACTGAGAAGAGGGCTTTTAGACTAGATGCATAAAACAAGGCCAATATATAAAAATCAAATATATTTCCACATGCTACAATAACTGGAAATCGAAATGAATAAAAAAAGTACCATTTGTAATAGCACTAAAAAACAATAGTTAGCTATAAACCGAACAAAATGTGCACAAGATCTACATGCTAAGAACTGCAAAGCACCGTTAAAAAATAAAAAGACATAACAAACTGATGAAACATGGATGGGAAGATTCAAAACTGCTGAGATGTCAATTCCCCCAATTTGGTCTTTAGATTCAGCAGAATCCCAATCAAAATCCAAGTAGCACTTTTCCCTAGAAATTGACAAGCTGGTTCCAAAATGCATACGGAAAGGCAAAGGATTTAGAACAGCCAAAGCTGACGGACTCTCCAGACGGCCCATAAAGCTAGCCATCCTGACCCTGTGGTTTGCTGGAACAAAACAGAGCACAGAAACAGACCCGCAGATGGGTTTTGACAAATGGGCAAACGCAATTCAATGGAGAATTTTGCGGGGTCAAAACATTTCTACCGCAGTAGTGGTCACATGAATGTATGCTTCTGAAAATTCAGAACTATATGCTAAGGATGGATTTTATTGTATATAAAGCATATTTAAAAAAAAAGTCAAAACTAAAAGACAAATAGCAAATATTCTACATTGTATACGTAGCATTCGACCTGTAAAGGCCTTTCAGTGATGGCAAAACCAGAGAGACATAAAGGTGTATAAAGCTCTTTCCTGACCTGCCACAAAGAAAAGGTATTTGGAATTTTCCACTATGAAAACAGGACATTTTTAACAAGGAACAGACACAGTGACCCCGCCCCTGTGGGGGTGGTGCTCACCTTCTCCTCTGCCAGGTGCAGGAGCTGTTTCTTGGCCTTCTCCACATCTGAGGAGGGACCCCTGATGACAACTGTGTCGCTTCCTGAACCTTCCACAGGGAAGTGAATGTGGACCCCACCGCATTCCTCCATGATGGAGCGGATCAGGCGGCCCTTCGTGCCGATGAGGGAGTTGTGCAGCTTGGCAGGGATTGAGACCTCCACCTCAGCTATGTTGGCCTGAAATCACACACAGCACGAGGGAGTCACGTTTTTATGTGGCAAGAAAGAGCCAGAGGAAAAGAATTAAGCCACAGTCTGTGAGGTGTTTAACACAGCAGGACCACACGCCTGGCGAAGAGGGGCCCAGAGTCCTTGTGCATGTGTGTATGGGGGGTGGGGTGTGTCTGTGTGTGTGGCACACAGAGCACAGAAGGAAAGCTGTGACGTCACACCATAGAACAGTGCTTTGCTTCTTCAGTCCTTCTCCACTAGCAGCAGACACAGGTCCAAGATGCGTACGGATCAACCTTTCCTAGTAAAACCCCATAAGCAAGGATTCTGCCTCCAGTCAAGATGCAACAGTGACTGGATTTACCTCCCACATGAAACAATTGTGTTCAACACACTGGAGACAAGAAGCAAACAAGGTGAGCCCTATGACTGCCCCCTAGCTGAGTCCCTGCATCATGGTCAAGAGCTGACAATCTGGGGAGACCAAGGTGCCTAGTATTGGCGGTCAGAGCCCAGGAAGAGAAAGCAGCATGGAGAGAGAAGCCCTCAGAACTGGAGACTGCTGACACGCTGACAGGTGTAGGGAAACACCTAGGCCAGGGAGAAGAACCACCAAAAGGACCAGGGGAAACAGGGACTGCAGCTCACAGTCAGCTGTCCTCATATGCGACACTGGGTGCAGTACTGAAGGGGTTCTCCCTTAGTAGCAGGAAACAACTGGCCCTAGACTAAGCACTGCTGGGAGCCCACCTAACAAATCTGAAAGGAAGGTCCAAAAAGGAGCGAACTGTGTTGAAGTAACTTAATGAAGTTCAAAGATATTTATAGGAACGCAAAAATATCCAGCATCCATCAAAGTAAACTTCATCATGCCTAGCATCCAATAATAAAATATCAGACGTGCAAAGAAACAGGAAAAAACAACCCTTAATGAGGAAAGAATAGAAAATGACCTAGAAATGACACAGATATTAGAACCAGCAGACCAAGGACACTAAAACAGGTATTTTCACTCTATTGCGTATGGTCAAAAAGCCAAAGGAAAGACCGAACATGTCATGCATAAAAACAAAAGATTCAAATTGAACTTCTAGAGGTGAAAAAATCTGAAACAAAAAATGTACTAGATGGGATTACAGGCAGATTAAACATTGCAGAAAATTAATGAATCTAAAGAAACTAATGGAGAACAAACACCACTCAGCCTCCCCGCCCAAATGAGTGGAGCATCAGTGAACAGCAGGACAACTTCAAGCTACCTGACACCAGGTAACTGGAGTCCGTGAAGAGGGGGACAGAAAAAAATAATAATGACCCCAATTTTTCCAAATTTGATGACAACTCTAAACTCACATACCCAAGAAGCTCAATGAACACCAAGCAAAGAAACATGAAGAAAACTACACCAAGACACATCGTACTTGCTCAAAGCTGGTCATACAATCATAAAAACAGCCAAAGGAAGAAAGATGAGTCTGTGCAGAGGAGCAAAGTAAGGGGTGACTTCAGATGTCTCGTCAAAAACAACGGAAGTGAGAAGACATTGAAGCAAAGTCTTAAGACCCGAAAGAAAAAACCCGCCAACCTGTGGAGGCAGAGCCACAGGAACTCACCCATTGCTGGTGGGAATGCGAAATGGAGCAGCCACTTTGGAAGACAGTCTGGCATTTTCTTACAAAACTAAATATACTCTTATCATACGATCCATCTTATCATTTATTACTAAGTGAAAGAAGCCAATCTGAAAAGGCTGCATACCATATGATTCCAACTGTCTGACATTCTGGAAAAGGCAAAACTATGGAAACAGCAAAAAAGATCAGGGATATCCAGGGGTTGGGGGTGAGGGGATGAACAGGTAGCACAGAGGATATACTTACATAAGTAAATATATATAATTTTTTAATTATTTACATCTCTTTTAAAAACTGATTGGGTGTTTACACAAACTTAACAATGAACCATGGGGTTTATAACATGGGAAGTGGAAGGCATGATGATAAGCCCAAGGCTGGCAGGCAGGAGATGGGGTAGATGGTTCTAAGTTTCCTACGCTATGTTTCCTGTCATATAAAGCCACTCGAAGGTTGACCAGGATAAGCTGAAGACGTATACTAAAAACCCTAAAGCAACCACTAAAAGAAAACAAAGAGTTACATCCAAAAAGCCAAAAAAGGAGATAAAAGGAATCACAAACATATTCAACCCAAGAGAAAGTAGAGAAAGAGAACAAAGTAGATGGGACAAGCAGAGAACAAACAGTGAGACGGCCAATGGAAACCTGGCCAGGCAAGATCATCCCACTGAAGGGCCACTGAGGTGTGTAACGGGGACAGCTTCTGCTGGGGAAGACGAGGAGATCTGGAGATGGATGTGGTGATGGCTGCACAACAGTGCAAATGTGCTTAATGCCACTGAACTATACACTTAAAGATGGTTAAGATGGTCAAATTTGTTATTGTATATTTTATCACAATTTTGAAAATGAAAAAATGGATAATCATCTTAAATGTAACTTAATTACATTTATTAAACGTATGTAATAACATGTTATATCTATAATTACTAATGTAATTAAATGTAAATGCCTCTATTTAAAAAGTAGAGATTGTCAGATTAAATTAAAAAAGCAAGCTTCCTAAAAACAAAACAAAAAATCTTTAATATAAGAAAAAATAGATTTCAGAGCAAAGAATATTACTAGGGGTAGAAAGAGGTTATTTTATAATGACAAAAATTACAGCTATTAGGAATGAGAGAGGTAACATCACTACAGACAGTAAAAGGGTAATATGAGAATACTATAAAAAACTTTATGCTAATAAATTCGACTACTTAGGTAAAATAGAAAACTCCCTGAAAGACACAAACTACAAAGCTCACACAAAAAGGAACATGAGGGGCTGGCCTGGTGGCACAGCAGTTAGGTTTGTGCACTGTACTTCACCAGCCCAGGGTTCACAGGTTCGGATCCCAGGCATGGACCTACGCACCGCTCATCAAGCCATGCTGTGGCAGCATCCCACATACAAAAATAGAGGAAGATGGGCACTGGATGTTAGCTCAGGGCCAATCTTCCTCACCAAAAAAAAAAAAAGGAATATGATCTATCCACACAATGAAATGTCACCCAGCAATAAAAACTTACTGATACACATGACAACATGGATGAATCTCAAAATAATTATGCAAAGTGAAAGCAGCTAGACCCAAGGCAGGAGGTACTAGGATTTCTTTCATACAATAATGTAGAAAATTCACACTAATCTACTGTGGCTGAAAGCAGATCAAGGGTTGGATAGGGAGAGTAGGGAGGTATTAAAAGGAGCATAAGGATATTTCGGGGGTGACGGACATGTTATTATCTTGATTGTGGAGATGACTCCACGGATGTATATACATATGTCAAAGCTTATCAAACTGCACACTTCAAACGTGCAGTTTCTTGCATGTTATTTTTCCAAAAACTGAAAAACAAGAAAATGTTCACAGCTGCAGAACATGATGGTTTCCCAGCACCCACGGCAAACGCTGAGTTGGTAGACATCAGCAGAAACGAGCGGCAGGGAGCCTGCGGCAGCCAGCGCTGCTGGAATGCAAGCTGAAGGAAAGCTCCTCCGTGAGCGGTGCTGTGCCGCCCGACCCGCACGGGGGGCGTGACCCAGGCCAGGGCCGCGGGGGCCAGCGAGAGAGCTGACCACAGGGAGCCTGGCGAGCACGGCACCACACAGCAGCCCTTACCAGGTCTTTCTGGATGGACAGAATGCGGCTCCGGGCGGCCTCGCAGTTAGCCCGCTTGCCTGTGATGACAATGGTCTCTGAATTGCTATTCTCTGCTGGAAGGTCGATCTTCGTGTTGCTTTCTTCCCGAATCTGTGAGGAGAGAGGGGACTGTGAGAAGCTGACGTCCCTGCTGAAGACACTCAGAGCCCAAGGCTGGGAAGTAAGGCTCTCTCCTTCAAATCCAAAGCCAGAATGGTGCAGGGCTACGGGGGTCAGGGTGAGAAGAGCCAAGATTCCAGGCACGGGCTGGCCAGTCACCTTTTTAATGTTTGCACCTCCTTTCCCAATGATGTTCTTGTGAAACTGTTTGAAGATTGGAACAGAAATTGAATAGCTGTTTTCCACCTTAAAAACAAGAGAGATGGCACAATTAGTCATGCTGGAGAGTGGCGCGTCCCTTCCGCCCTGAAGGCAGTATGGAACGACAGGACTCTGCTATTGAAAAGCAGACTTCGATCCTACGTCTCTCCCCTCTCTGACCTTCAGAGGTTTGACCTGAGGAGAGAGGAGACAACAAACAACAATGAACTAACCTGGCATGTCCTAGTCAACTGGTGATGCAAAGGACCCCTTTGTAAAAAGTGGCAGGCAACAGAACCTGCCATCTGTTAGACGCATGTTCCACAAGCCAGAGGCAATCAAGTCTGGCCAGGTGCCCTCAACGACTTCCAGGACCAGAGCTGTCCAGGACACCAGGCTGAGGAGTGAGCTCAGAACACACAAGGCAGCACACAGACCCTCTACTGTCTGGAATCCCAGCACCCCAGGGCGGTGCCAACGAGATCAGTGCTGGGAAGCTCTCCCCATCACCTCTCTCAGCCTGTCACAGGCTAAGTCCAAGACTCATGAGAAACCATGGAAAGCATGAGGCCATCTACAGCCTTCCCATCAACTGCCCTCAGCACTTTCCAAACTGCCTCTTCCCATTTCAGTTTTTGAGGAAAATAACAAATCAATAAATGACTCCTTATGCTATTTGTGTGAATCTCTCTCCTTACTGGATGGGACAGTTTCTCTACCTAGGTATCTGAAGACCCCTCAAGAAAACAAGGTAACCCAGCATGGGAAAAGGGACATCCCCCCACTTCAGTTCTACAGAACCCTGAGGTTGTGACCATTTCTGCCAGTCTCAACATCAGGTGTTGAGAGATGGCATCACTACTTTGTTCTAAGTCCTTGAGATGGCAGACTGACCCAGTGCCCAAGCGTGCTCCCTGAAGCAGGGGTTCTGACGGGACACATCCCCACTCCCCACACCACCCGTAACACCGTCACACAACAAAAGATGAAAAACGTCCCCCTACCAGATCTGCCACCATCTTCTGCATGTATTTTGTGCATTTTTCCACCTCATTCTTCGGCCCTCTGAGTTGGACAATATCACTTTTCTGTGCTGGGTCCGGAAAGTTGATGATAACCTAGAACAAATCATCAGGAGACCAAGTTCGATCACTGGTAAGGACTGGATTCCAAAATACTGAATACCCTCAAGTGCCAAACAGACCACTCCTAGAGGGCTGAAGAAAACAGTGCCTTTGGGAAACCTTTACCTCTGGGAATTTATCACGAATTTCACGGATCCGTTCACCCTTCTGCCCAATGATTGTTCGATGAAATCTTTGCTCAATGATTAGATCCTTGGTTCGCTCATTTTCCTAAAAATAGAATTGAAGTAGATAATGTCATCTATCACAAGCAAGGTGAGCAACACCCCCCCACACTGGGGGGCACCTGGGAGCCCCAGGGACGGCAGCACGGCCCAGCTCTGTTGCCAAGTAGCAGGTGAGGTGGTGCCCAGGTGCATCCCTGCAGCACCCCCTGGGAGTCACTAGCCAGTAGAGAGCACCCATTACAGGACACCTGCTCTCTCCAACAATCACCATACTACATATTACGATGGTTGCATGTTATTTTCCTGAACAAAGTACAATTAAAGAATTGGGTGCAGGACCCTTCAACTGAAAGTGCTATTGCAGTAGCCATAATCACCAAAGCAACTCATTTAGCAGTTGTTTAAGAAGAACTAGAGACTGTGAGGCTCAGCGCTCTGCACCATAGGGAGTGACCCCTCCTGAACATGGGGTGGCTCAAACCACTTCCCCGTGTGGATAATGAAGAAAGAATGGTTCAACAAAGGACACTGAACCCACAATGCTCAACCTCCTCCAGAGGTCCCATTAAAATGTAAGAAGAAATACCAGAATCCAGAAAAGTCCATCACAAGCAGAGCTGAAACACACGAAAGAACACCAGCAGCCCACCAAACATTTTCAAGAGTTCTAGGATATTTGGGATTAGACTGGTGTCAGACTGACAGAGAAATGAGCATTCAGAAATCCAGCGTAAGCACACGACACTGCAGAGCAAGGGAGCCTGATGGTCAGGACAAGCTGGGTGATGAACGGGAGAACCCAGCAGGCTTGGCTGAGGAACGGGCTCAGGACGGCCAGAGCGCAGTGGAGGCTGCACCACACCTTGGATGCCAGGTGAGGAAAATGCAATCACTACTGTAACAAGTGGTCCCCTGATCTGAGACTCCTGGCACAGGTGCTAGTGCGAGATGGGAGTGGGATGCCTGGGGTAGATGGATGACACAGACCCTGGGGCTCGTTCCCTACCCCAATGGGGCCCAAGTACTGCCCTGCCCTGGGCATTCCTGGCAATCTGCACACGTTTAGGTTAAGGCACAAGCACTCACACAGTTTTTGACACTTCTGGACTGGACTCTTAAAAGGCACCAAGGCAACTCGCACATGCAGCCAAGGTGGAGAGTCACTGCTGCAGGTTATCCGCATTTGACTCGTAGAATCAAGAACAATGCATGAGTGCTCGTCACTTAGCCCAGCACAGTGCAGTACATTAGTCTGAGGGTAGGGAACAAGGCCCATTCCCTACCCTACCTCCACCCTCCCGGGTTTGCAAGTAACCACACAGCACTGATTCTCAACCTTGGCTGCAATGAGACTCACCTGGGTGCCTTTAAGAATCCAGAAAAGTCCATCACAATCCCTGGAGTTGGTACTCAGGCATCACGGACTCCGGGCTTTGGCCAAGACTAAGCATGCTGCCAAAGCCCAGTGCCTCCCTAGCACAGCATGTGGCCCCAGGGATCTGGGGAGGACAAGGAAACTCGGCCCCAGCAGGTCAGTTCCCCCCAACCCAACGAGAGACTTGGTGATCTCCACTCTCCAGGACCGCACACGCACACAGTGCTCCTCAGCAGAGGCGGCCAAGAGACGCAGGCCCACTCATCCTGGCAGGCCCTGGCCGCAGGGCTTACCATGCGAGAGGCGAGCTCCAACAGCTCCCGCTTGGCCTGCTGCACGCCCTGTGGGTCCCCCTCAATGCGGATCAGGTTGCTCTTCTCGCTGTCGGGAGGGATGCGCACAGACACCTTGTACTGGTCTTTGATTCTGTTTACTTGAGAATACAAAAAGAAACACATTTTGGACTCAGATTTTACCACATTCCACTAATGACTAACAACCCAGCAGGGCAGTGTGAAAGCCCCAAATAACCTAATCAGTCATCCCACAAGCAAAGAGGATGATCAGGCCTCCAAAGCAAGACTTTCCATTTTCTAAAATGAGCTGGGTATGACCTTCACCCGGATCACCACATGCTGGCATCGCCGTGAGAGCTTCAAATGACAAACACCTGGGACTACTCAGAATCTGAGATTTAGCTGGTTTGGGGTGTGGCTGAGGCTTTAGAATATTAAAAGATCCCAGGTGTTTCCAGTGTGGAGACAAGTTAGGGAACTACTCTTCTCAAGTCAAAAAACAACTCTCAGTAAATAAACAAATAAAAATAAAAAACCATTAAAACTCAGAAGCTGTCACATTAACTGAACATAAAAGCACCCCACCAACCACTCAGAGCCCCACTGAGGACATGCTGCTGCCTAAAGAGACTCCATTGCCAGCTTAGATCCAAACCAACACTGCACTGTCTTTGCAAAACAAGTGGAGCTGAAAACCCCCTTCCTGTCACCTTCTCTGGAAGGAGCCCAGTGCCTGAAGTTAGGATCCAGACCCCCACACCCTGGAGAAGCCTTATTACCAGAAAACGAGGTCGGCATTTTGCCCATTGTGTAGTAAAGGGGAGCCAAGCTCCTTAGAGAGTTACCCAGGAGGCTTCTGAGCACACACAGAGAAGCCATGTGTCAATGCACTTGGGGACTGACATGAGGATGTGCTGCTCCAGGGGGGGAACTACGCAGGACAAGAGCCAGGGACAGAGAAGCCAGGCGGCAGATTTTAGATGATGAAAGACAACAAGGGTTAGGAACTGAACCAGAAAAAAACAGAACAGACACAATTCTTTGAAATGTGCTACGTGGTTCCACACTTCTTAGGGAGCAGAAACCAAAAATTAATGTCAGAACTGCACTTCCTTATGGTTTCTGTTTAAGAAAACACAATAGTTAACCAAAACAAAAACAAAAAAATAAAAAAAAGCAAGTTTATGGTGTGTACATGGTTCAAGCAGTGTGCGCAAGCAAGTGAGCACTGAGTGGAGTTGCTCTGTGCGTCTAGATTCTCACCCGTCGTTTAAAATGCCCCCAAACACAAGACTGACAGCAAATAAGCAGAGCAGATAAGCTTATGTTTACTTCGAACAAAAAACGGTCTGCACAGGGCAAAAACCAAAGAGGGCACGTCCCTGCAACCTCAGAAAGGACCCAGGAACAGGGTATGTGTTAGCCCTCTCCCCTTCCATTGAAGGTACAGCAAAGGGGACAGAGCTGTTTTCGTAACTGGTAAGCACTGGGATTTGTGGGATAGGCTTTGCAGTTAAACTAAGCAAAGGAACCGATTTTAAAAAAACATCCTTGGATTCGAGCAGAGCATTCACTTAACATGTTTCTGATGTTATCCCACACTTGTGCAACCAACCTGACACAGGAAGGTCCACCACTGAAGCTGTACTGACATATTACTGCTTGCCCAACAGAATCCCTCCCTATGTTGTTGGACTTGGCTATGAGTCTAGAAATCTCTTACTCCTTGGTGAGCTCCAGATTAGGGGTGTGTTCAGTAGTTAATTTTTGAGGACTACAAAAAACTGGCGGACTGGCTGAAATGCAAAGGACACGATCCTGGGGGGCACGCCTTCACTACGACCCCTGTGGGTTACCCAAGAAACCTGAGCAGGTTGATCATGTTCCCCTCCAGGCCCAACAGCTCCAGACCAACCAGTGCCCAAGGAGAAGACGAGGGTACCCAGTTAGAAACCTCATGACTCATCTCCCCAGCCGCCAAGCACAGCACCTGGCCCAGGCCATCGACACTTCCACCCTGGCTTGCCCCCAACACTGTCAGCTTCACTCACTGTTGGCCCCGCTCTTCCCAATGAGGTGTCTGTGGAACTTGTGGTCGATGTTGATCTCCACGTAGTCCATCCGGTTAATCTGCAGGAGGAGCACAGGGCAGATCCATAGAGACAAGCACTTGAGTCCGAGATGTGCCCGGATATTCAGACAAGCAGGAAGAACCCAAGTCCAGATGGCAGCAGTGGGGGCCTTTTCTCAACACTCAGCTTTCAGGAGCTACTGCAGGACTGTCCTCTTGCAAGACCCTTGAAAGAAACTTCTTCAACACAAGGTTTCCTCTATCCATGACTCTCCTGGACTCTGGACAGTTCCTAATTGTCTCAGAACCCATTACTCATCGACTGGGCCACTCTTCCACGTCTCCGTGCCCACCCACGTGAGGTTTGACTGGCAATAAGTTCACAGCCCCGTTGCCACTTCACCAGCACTCAGAATGCTCAAAGAAACACCTTACCAAGTCTTTGACCATGGCTTCAATCTGCTCCTGGGCCACATTCACGTCCTCTGTGGGGCCTTCCAGGGTGATCCTGTCCTCGCCCTCTGTGAATTCGATGTGAACCTACCGTGACAAAGTAAGGAAAAGGACAGCGGTCACCTCCGAGAACTCAGGGGTGCTTTCCTGGGGCAGCAGCTGATCCTAAATTGCTTCATATAAATGCATGTCCAGAGACACCACAAATAGTCAGAAGAGGGGTTGGGGACAACCACTATTTTGGTATCAAATACTGTGGTCTAACAATCTTTCCTTTGCTAAAAATGGGAACTGCACAGTCCTTCACACTGCTTGACACCAAAACCACGAACTTAAAGCACATCAATACCTGTTGTTCATGTTTTCCTTTTTAATTTTCACTTTTATAATGCCTACTTCTCTTTGTTGCATGAAGAATGAGACAGCCGACAGGGACAAAATTCTAACCCAAGTATAGCTAACCAACGGTAGTCCACAGATAAGGCCACCCCGCCCCCCACCCCCGCACCACCGGTTTACAACACAACAGGTAGGGAGAGTAATGCGAGAGAAGGGCAACGGGGGGCCGGCCCCACGAAGCAATTATATCTGTGTGAGCCACAACTTTGAACCTAGAACAAGTAAAATGACTAGAAAGTAAATTTCAAACTAAGTCTCAACAGAACAGGAATAAAATATGATGGGTTGAGTTCTCTGGCAATTCCATCCTGTTAAAGTTTCCTGGGAGCTACTGTCTCCTTTGGAAATCGGAAAAGACTTCAAGGACAGAGATGTAGAGGATGAAAAGGCCCGTTAACGCCACACTTTACACAATTTGTATACAAGTTCTGATCTTCAAAATATACAGATGTAACTATTATGACGCTATTATACCATGATAACTAATGAAATGTTTTGTACAATATTTATTAAACCTGCCAATACACATTGTCTCTGGTTAAAAATATGACACAAATATTTAAAAAAACCATTCCACTCTTCTTTAGCTAACCATGAAAGCTGACTGTCATACGACACAACTGATTTTTGAAAAATGTGCCCGTCTTCAAAGGCATCCACAGGATTAACAGCAACAACAAAACCAAAGTCAGAAATGGGACGTCAGAAAACAAGATCAACTCAACGTAACAGATCAACAACGCTTCCGTACCTTTGGCATCTGCTGAGTGATTTTGGCCAGGTTTTGCCCTTTCTTGCCAATGATGAAACGGTGAAGCCAAGAAGGAGCAGAGACGGAGGAGACTGTAAAACTGTTGGCCTAGGAAAACCAGGAAACAAGGTCGTGGGTTTGCAGAGTCCAGATGATGTGAACACCAAAGCCAGGTTCCTCGCTAGGGTTCCAAGGGAGGTGAGCACTCCCCAACCCGACACGGCCCCTGTATCCGATCCCAGGAAATGCTAATCAGGAGTCTGTCCCTACAAGGAGCAGTCAGAATCCACTCTCGGAGGCAGTTACCTTGGCATAGACTTCAGTCAACGCTTGCCCTAGCTTTTCAGGCTCGCCTCGAAGTATCACAGTCTCAGAGATGCTGTCTGAGGGTGGGATCTCCACAGAAACTCCAGTTCTTTCCAGGATCTCTTGCAAGGAATTGCCTTTGGGCCCAATGACATACTTGTGCTGGGATTTCTTCACCTCCACTGCGATAGTCGTGGTCTTCTTTTTCTAAGTGAGAGCATGGTATGGGCATCAGAGAGAAGGGAGCAGGGGTGGGTGGCAGGTGGGGACAGAACGTTGCCGCCACCAGGCAGACAGCAAGATATGGGGCCCCAGACTACAGCTGTTGAGCCCTAACAAGTGAAGCAATGACCAGCTACTCCCCCAAAACTCCATTAAATCAAGAATTGGGTTTTCTCCTCAAAAGAATCACCCAAGAATTTAAATCAAGCCCAGTCTGATAACTGCAACCTGGAAGAGCTGAAAACACCAAGTCTTCTCCCCAAACTAAGGAACAAGTTTCAGACCTCAAAGTCCACCAACTTGGGCTATGAACTTACTCAAAGACATGATCAGCTCTGAGAAGTCCGTCCAGCCCCGTGGCAGCCCCAGTCCAGGGTCGGGGGAGCTCGGGTGGGGATAGCGGGGAAGAGTCTTCCAGCACAGAGCTCTGCCTACTCTTTCACTGCCCGACAGATGCAGAAGAGGCATGGGCGCCATTTTCTAACCATAGAAACTGCAGTTGTCCAGGATAAAAGGACAAAGGACAGGGCTGGGCCTGGACCAAATCTCCAGACGATTCCTATTCTCTCTTTCTACCCATGGGGATTTTCCTCCTCCCAACCTCTACCTTTTCCTCATAAATCTTCTTGATTCGAGCCACGGCCTGAGCCAACTGCTCCTTCTCCCCAGTGAAGACGATTTCTGTCCGGTTGACACTGGGTGGCGGGATGTTGATGCGCGTCCCCGTCTCCTGCATGATCTCACCAACGAGTCGATTGTAAGGCCCAGCAATGAAGGGATGGAATGCCTTCTCCACCTCTAGCCTCTCTACAGCACGTTTGTCCTGGAAAGGAAAGGACGGAACTATGCGAGCACAGCTCTGGGCACAAACTGAGGAGAGACAGGGCCTCCCTGTCAGTGCCCGGGGCTGAGGTCAGCACATGCACACCAGGCCTGCAGGCGGCCTCACCTGCTCAGCAGAGATGAGCAAGACTTCATGGCGAGCTTTCTCAATGCCCTCTTTGGTGCCAGTGATCCTGATCTGATTGCTGGCGTCATCTGGGCGTGGGATCTGGATTTTGGTTGCAGTTTTTAGCTCTAAGTCTTGCAGTTTCTCTCCATTTTTGCCAATAACAAAGCGATGGTGTTCTTTGGGAATGGCAACAGTTGCTGAAGCCTACAATGAGAGAACCAAAGAAAACAAAAATATTTGTAGATTCCAAAAAAGCATATTTTTCCCCAACATTCTGTCTGGCCGGAATGCCACTCTCACCTGTTCTTGCCTAGCCAACCCCAACCTATCCTTTAGTCTTAGGTTAAACATCACGTTCTTGGGGAAGCTTGCCCTGACCCTCAGCCTAGGGGGTAAGTTCAAGTGTGATGTATTCCCATGGCCCCACATCACACGTTCAGCTGTCATGACTATTTAGTGGTAATTATTTGCTCAATGTCTTCTCAGCCCAGTTATGAGCCATCATGAGGACAGGAATATTCAAGAATGATATCTGTCTTGTTTTCCACTTCAATGATTCCTAACTCCAAGCTAGGACATGGTAGGAAAGCAGATACATATTGACTAACCAGATTAATTTTTGTCTCTAGAGTACTAGGCTATTTTTTCAAACATAAGCCCTATATTTAGCAGTAAATTCTTCTTCCTATCTCCTTTACGACCAGGTAAAATAGACAACTCATCTGAGGAAAGAAAATGGAACAACCCTTCATGCGATGAGTCAAACTGCCAGAAATTAAGAACTTCCTGAGGTCACAGAGAAACCTGGGAGGAAGGCAGAGGCTTCTAGTCTTCCTAACTCTGTACAGAAAATAGCTATCAACTAAGAAGACTTAAAAAAAAGGCAAGTGTTATGGTGCCCACACAGCAGAAAGTCACAGATCAGCTAGCTTCTCTTCTTCTCTAAAAGGTTACAATTTTATGGTGGAACTATTCAACATTCACAACAGAAATGTTACATTGTATCATAAAGGCAATAAAAAAGTCCCCACTTCCCAACTAGCATAGAAAGTAAGCCCACCAACTTGGACATTATGATCAAATGAGGTTTATTCCAAACACGGTTCAATATTAGGAAATCCATTTATAAAATTCAACATATTATTAAATCTAAGGAGAAAAATCAAATGATCATCTCCACAAAATTTAAATCCATGCATGATAAGAATTTGCAAGAAAACAGAAACCAAGGGATATACATATTTTTAACATGACAAAATACACCTCAGCCTCAAAACTGTACTTAATAGGAAAGTGCTCAGTAAGGCAGTGCACTGCCCATACCACTACTTAACCTCCACTAGAGTGTTTCCCCATGAAAGGAGACATGAGAAAGCAAAGCAGACACAAAGGCTGGATGGGAAGAGGCAGGTGACTGCACACTTGGGAACCCCGGGAAACCACTCCTTTATTAAATTCTTACTGTCTGTAACAGGAAGAAAAAAAGAATCCAGAAGTCAACAGTTTTAACTTAAACTAATAACAACCAGTTAGAAGATGTAATAGAACAGACCACCCATTTCCAATAGACAAAAGAAAAAAAATAAAGTAGCTAGACACACACCCAACAAAAGTGGAATATGTACATCAGAAATCAGAAAATACCTCTTAACACATCTAATGCAATTTTAAACAAAAAGTTGACTATAAAGTTTGTATGGTACAACAAAAAAGAATAGAATAGACAAGAAAACCTTGAAAAAGAACAGTACAAGAGGGGTAGTAATAACTTTATTAGATATTAAAGTATAAAACCATTACCATTAAAACAGGCAAATAGTAGCATACAAAGAAGGAGACCAACAGGTCAGAATTGAAAACCCAGGAACAGACGCAAGTTAGTATGAAAGCTAGGACTTATTAAAAACAGCCACTCAAATCACCAAGGGAAAACTCTTAAAAATGGTGTCAACGACTTTGACAGCCACATGGAAAAGGATGAAACTGGATCTGTACCTCGCACTATTCACAATAAATTCCAGACATACCAGAAACTGAAATATAAGAACACCCTTACAAGCAGAGAAAATACGAGTAAGATTTCTTACAACTTCAAAGCAAAAAAAAAATCTTCCCAACAATGATTCAAAATAACAAAAGATTAACGAATTTGACAGCACAAAAAAAAAACTTGCATATAGCCAAACACACCAAGATCAAAAAACAAATGGCAAACTGGGAAACATTATCTGTATTGTGTATTACAGATGAGGGGTTTTTAAGAGCCCTAATACACTGAGCAGGACAGACAACTTTAACGTGCTAGAAAAGGACAAAACAACAGATAGTGCCCCGAGAAATGCAAATAGCCCTTAGACACTGAAAAGATGCTCAATCTTGTTCATCTAAAAGTATACTCAGCTACCTTTCAGAATGACAAAATCCAAGCATTTGATGGGCCTGGCAAGGCTGTGAGGAAGCTGATGGAGTGCACCTGCCCAGCACCCAGGGGAGGGGATTTGGCTGTTATGGCAAAACTACATATGCAGTTACCCTTTGACCCAGCCACCTCACTTCTAGGAAACCTATCCCAAGAAACGCGGGTAAAATAGGAAATAGCACATGCACAAGGTTTTTTACTGTGACATAATTTATAACAGCAAAAGTCTGGAAGCCATCCAAATGCCCAAGAGGAGTGCTTGAATAAATTACAGCACACCTACAGAGCATCATGCCGCTGTATAAAGAAATGAGGAATGCCATATATGTAAGAGAAAACAAGGTGCAGAACAGAGTTTATGGCAAGCTATGTTTTGCTTCTATTCTCAAACCCAAACAATGGGAGGATACACTTAAGACTAAGAATCGTCACCCAGCAGGGGAGGGAGGGAACAGGGTGAAGAAACCGTCTCTGAATGTACCTATTATACAGCTCTTTGTAATCATGGAATGTTTAAGTAATTTTTAAAAATTGAAAAAAAGAATGAAATCAAATGAACCTAGCTATGTATCAAGATGACAGCATAACCTAAACAGAGAGAAGAACTACTTAAAGTGATTTTAAAACCCACAGTCTTTCATCTTAATTAGAAGTATCAGTTTGAACTCATGCAACTTCCTATGAAACATGTCCAGAGTTCTTGGACAAACAGCTGATTTCAGGTCTGTGGAAGGAAACAGTTAAGGTTAATCCACACAGCTCTCTGTGTTAGAAACTAGGAAGTGATCGAAGACACACGGTCATGTCAGAATGCTGCAAGGAGCCAAGCTAAAGGGGTTCCCACTGGCCAATGAGGCAATTTCAGCATAAAGAACGACTAATAAACACATCAAAAATTCACAAGGACACTAAAGAGATTCATGGATCACCAGTGAAGATGCCAGAGTGCCAATTTAGTCTAAAATTAAGGGGAAAAGGATCAATTTTATCTTGCACTTCCCAGTTGAAATGTTGACGGAGGAATGTTCTTCACAAGAATACCAACTAACGCAGGAGGATGGAGAGATTTAGAAAGCCATCATTTGCGACCCTCAGTGAATTTAGGCAATGATAGCAATAGATGATGATGATACAACTATTAAGCAAAAGACTGACTGGGAACTTTCTAATGGATGGATTTGGCTGAAGACACCTGAGTCTACTGATCAATCTTGGAATCAATACCAAGTACACAGCACCACCCAAAAGTTTTCTTGCCAAACAAACACGCTGAATGTGAAAGTAACCAAGCCCCTAGATCTAACCACCAGTTTACAGGAAATAATGATGGACAGTGGAACAAATCAAACACCTGCTTGTCCCAAATCAACAGCATTAAGAAAAGGAGAGGAAAGGCCCTGCTGAGGAATCAAAGAGGACTTGAGGCTTGACGAGCACACGCAGCGTGCGGACTTGGTAGGATACTGATTTGAACAACTAACCTGGAAAGACATCTCTGAGATAATGAGGGGAGTCCATCTATAGACTGGGTTAATATGGATATATTAAGAAATTACTAATTTTAATGAGTGAGTTAACAGCATAGTGGTTATACAAAAAAACAAAAAAGAGGGGTGCCATACTGAATTATTTACAGGTGAATAACATGTCTGGGATTTGCTTTCAAGTAATGGGGGGGACAGGGGTATGGAGCGGGTCGGGGATGAATGCCTTCAGTGTCCCCTCCCCACCCAGTGCTCAATCACAAAATATACAAATATCTACCCACTAGTAGATAACAGCACCAGCCACAATGGGAAGCAATTTACACACGACATTTTCAACTTCCTACATTCAATGATTTAATTCTCTCAGGCTAGTGGGTTAGGGACTGCCCCAAGGCCCCAAGTGGCTGAGTGAGTGTGAGAGCTGGGATGGCACAGGGCAGTGCTCCTCCTCCCTGCTAAGCCCTGGCTCTTGACCCGGGGCCCCTCTTGTATCAGATTCCCATCTTCTAACCACCACAGAGGCTCAGTGGCAGGTGGGAAGGACTCCCATTTCTAATGAAGCCCATCTAAAGCTCTATCTGTCCTATGACTATTAATAAGATTCTCTACGTTTATCTTGGTCTTTAAGTGATGCCACTTAGGGAGAAACGCATCATAGGCTTGCTTATTTATTACAATTGTTCTCAAATAAATTCCAAGTACTGGTATCAGACTACTAAGGACTACGGAATTGGTTTAAAACAAAATTTCAACTGTAATCTCTCAAGTTTGGGGCCTGAAAATGTGTACTTAACAACAAAGGTACTCACTGATACTCGAGCTTGCATTTGGAAACACCAATCTATGACTGTGTCCTTACTATACTATCTAGCAAGCTCAGTTTCATGTTTCAAACTCTAGAATAAGCCTTTAACTTTCAGTTCATTCGCCCAAATAGGTGGCCCAGTTCTACTACTGACTTACTGGTTTTTCACTAAAAATGCCAGTAGGCTCCAAATGTTGCTGCCTACCACCGAACGATGGACCTGCCCCTCTGGTGAGAAGTCTGATGAAGTGTGAGCCATGTCTGTAGGAGCCAGCAGTGCACGGCTCGAGTGCCTCCACTCGGGAGGACCAGGCCTGGAGAACACACACCTGAGTCTGCAGTCTAGCAACAATGTCCTTCCGGGCTTTCATGACAGCATCCAGCTTCCCAGAGACCATGATGGAGAGGCCTTGGTCTTTGGCGAGAGACAGCTCCAGGTGAGCGCCGGTTCTCTGCATGATCTCAAGGCAGATTTTTGCTTGTTCACCTTCTCCAAACTGGTTCATGTCTTTATATTTTCTCTCCTCCAAGGGTACATGGAATACCTGCTCAGAAAAGGTCAAAAAGGGAAGGTTAAGAGATCAAGAAGAGAAGGAAGGAAGTTTAAGTGTCTAGGCACTGAATATATGGAGTGGAGTAGAGAATGTGAGTTCGTTCACTCACCAAGTATCACCCCCTCCCCTACACTGCTCTAAGGCCCCAAGAGAGCAATTAAGAAATAAGCAGAAAGCGCCTAAGGTCAGCAGGCTGACATCCTGGTGAAGAAGAGAACTACATCCCCACACAAATGAATAGCAAGGGAGCATCAGATAATACTAAGTGCTGTGAAGGAAGCATACAGGGAGGTGAGAAGCTAGGCAGAGGTGGGTGGAAAGGAGATATGAGGAAGGCCAGGAAGGACCTTTCTAAAGGGTCAAAGATGTAGCTGGGTATGCCGGGAGGTGAGGAAGAGCGACTGAGGCAAAGAGGCAGATGTGGGAGCACCTGAGCATGAGGGGGCGGGGTCCAGGAGGCACAAAGGAAGGGGCCAGATCCCCCAGCCCACCCTGCAGTAAGATGAGAAGCAATGAAGGGTTTTAAGTAGGACACGTTCTGACTGATGACTCAGGGTCACTCCAGCTGCTCTGTGGAGAAGGGACTGCGCAGAGGCATGGGTGGAAGCAGGAGGAACCAAATGACTCCTGGTTTGGGGCCTAAACCACTAAGTAGAACATGGTGCATTTAACAAAATCAGGAAGATTGGGGAGAAACCTGTTCTGTCTCAGACACCCACTAGAAACATGGAAAGATCCAGGATGCAGTCAGTTATGAGCCTCAGGTTCAAGGAAGGGCACTTCTTAGCACATGGGTGGTAATCACAAGCACGACCTGACATGAGTTCACATAAAGAGAAGTGCTGAGCCCGCCAAGATCCCAAGTTCAAGTAGCAGAGTGATGAGCTAGTGAAGTCAAAGAAAGCCAAGAAAATGGCATGATGGAAGCCAAATATTTGGAGAAGACTGCTTCAAGACAGTACCACAAAAAGTACGCTAGATGGACAAGTTCTTGTTGGAGTTGGTGACGTGGAAGGCAAGGGCAGTTTCAGCAGCTGGGAGCAGAGACTGGATTGCAGCAGATTGAAAAACAAATGGGATCCATTCCTTCTGGGTGCTAGGGACACACGCTGAGCATGACGGCAGCTGTGCTCTTGGGGTGCTTCCCTGGGGGTGACTGCTGATTTAATCCCACCAAGGCCTCCCCCTTTCCATCCTCAAAGCACTCTCATTTTTGCATGTTCAGAAACCCTTCCACCACATGCTACAGCTTCCTACTTGGAGGAACAGTAAAGAAACAATGGGTTTCTACCTGAGTGATGACAGAAGCCTTGATGGGCCGGATCTTGTTACTCCAGGCGCCGGCAGGTTCCTGGGCATTTTCCAAGCAAGCTGCTTTCTCAGGGAGTGGGGGGAAGGCATCCTTGTAGGTTGGAGGGTCGCTCTCCTCTTCTGAATTTAAAGTGGCAACTGGACCGGCCAACATAGATTAAGAGGAAGCACACTGCTTTTACTATTAGATGAAAAAACACTCGGAAGTTTTAATGTCAAAAAAAAAAAAAAAAAAGACACTAATGGTCGAGTGGGAAAGGGCCCCAGGAGGTCATCAGGCCCAGTACCCTCAGGTTTAGCAGGTTACTGGGAGAGGCTGGACTCTGACCCTGATGGTGACCCCTCCTGCCCTTCTGCACAGCCTCCCCCATTAACGGTCAGCTCAGACACCAGGTGCCCCACTCCTCCCCTAACGGGGTAAGCCCCTTGAAGGCAGGCCTTGCCATAGCGATTTTTAAGCCCTTAAGTGCCTCCTAATCCTGTATTAAAAAAAAAATCTCAACTATGACATTGCCTGGCACAGAGCTGGCCCTTAAACTTGCAGAACAAAGTAATGTTGCTGCCCAGTACTGCCTGTGAGAACTCCCTTTCAGGCAAACTCCAGCTGATTTCCCACTGTCATGTACAATGTTGAAAATAATTCTTGTGGGAATGCCATCTCTGATGCCCCCCACCCTCTGCAGGGAGCAAGCCTTGTGGAAACTAGGTCCCCTCATCATGAATCACTTCTGTCCTCCAAAGAGCCCTGATCATTCACGTTTTTGTCCCATGAACCACAGCTCCATAAAAGCAGGAGCGTGACTGTCTTGGATCACCCCAAAAACCCAGGGCCAAGTGTGTGTGCCACAGTGTGTGGCAATGGCAGAGCCCAATAAACCCACTGTGAGTGGATACGCACACAGAGCAGGGGGTGACCTCTGGAAACAGACAGGCCTGCATCCGACTCCAGGTTCATCACTTCCAGCCATGTGGCTGTGCCATCCCTGGATGCGCATAAAGACTCAGTGCTGACAAGCAATTGGATTCTGTCAGCGCCTAGTGGCCCTCATTGGGAAATGGAAAAAATGCAGACCCCACAGGACTGCTGGATCAGGTGGAAAGATGGAGTCCTGCAGGCACTCAGAATCCAGGAAGCAGCAGCATCTAGTCCTGACTGCCCTAGAAATGAGCACTTGAAACATGGCCAGTGTGACTGAGGAAGCCAATTTTTAATTTTAAACTTAAGAACTGATACTCAATTCAGTTATTAGAAAACAAGAGTATCTGGAACAACTCGGAGTAGAACAATTTACTCTTTCAACTGAAAATTTAGCATTTAAATCAAGTTGTCCTGTAGTTGTAAAAACATACCAGATTTTGAAGAGGAAAAAAAGAACGTAAAATACTAGTTTTTATTTTTACATTAAAGATATATTGAAATGACAATGTTTTAGACATATTCTATTTCTACTGTGTGGCACTCTCAATCTTGGCCAGTTGCCTTGGAGAACTCAGAAGCCAGGATCCAGCCTTTGTCCTCAAAGTGGGCTCCTGACAGTGCTCTGGGATGCTTCACAGCCCAGAATTTAGTTCAACACAACTGGGGAACAGCAATTTTGAAAAAGAATCCCATTCATTACCAATAGTCAAATTCACTGGTTTTCCAGAAAGTCGTCCAAATTTTAAATCTTACTGTATCCAGATTTGTCTATTACTCCTGGCCAATTCTACCCTGCACACAAGGGTAGTACAAAACAGAGCTCACAAACGGGTAGGCCTTACCCAACAACTACAGGGCCAAAAGGTACTCCTAGAAAGGGCACAAGATCAGACAAGGTTTTGGATGGAGAGGTGTCTCCGAGTTTACAAGAAGAGATGTTAGGGGCTGTCACCTTTGATCTGTTGCGGAACCAGCCCACTTCGGTGTTCAGCAAAGCTCTCTTGGGTCAAAACTGCAACGGAGCTCATGGTTGATCTCGCGCCTACACACAATCCGGGTGAGCCACTGAAGCAGGAGGGAACGAGTCAGCAGAGAAAGGCAAGGTACAGCAGCTCTCAGCTACTTATGAGACTGTTAAGCTGAGAGTTTTAGCCAAGGGTTTAATTCTCTTTTAGCAGCAAACTACACCTTATTTTTCTCACTTACAACCTCTGATGTAAGGTGATACCCAAACACTCATCAAGTGATGAAAAGACAAAATCCAAGTAAAGGAGGGTCCTTGGACGACTGTCCCCTCAAAAGGTGCCCTGTAACTGAGGAGAGATGGAGGCTCCAGCTGAGAGGTTCAGAACCAGGATGACCAGGAGCCGCAGAGACACAGCACCCCCTCCTCACCAGGGGCCTCAGACACAGTCTGCACCCCACCTCTCTCCACCCACGGGGGCCAGGTGGAACCTACCACACGTCTAACCCACCTCAGACACACATCAACATCTGGATGGTTCTCCTAACAACTATCTCAGTGTTTTGTTCATTTGTTCGTTCACATGCTTCTTGATGCTTGATGCTTATGAAATGTATCACATGAAAGTTGCTACAAAAAGCCAATCAAACAGCATTGGCAAGGGCTCAGTGAACTGAACAGTCTCACAATGCTGACTGGCCCCTGGCGGGAAGAGCACCCTCACCCAGTTCTGTGGCAACAATGTAACAGCAGGGAACCAAAGGGTGGGGCCGTGAAGTGCCTCAGACAAGTGCTCATTGATTACTCTCAGACAGCCTGTCTCTCCCAGGTGTGGAAGGGGACTTGCAGCTGGTTCCTCAGTTCAGGGCAGGAGGCATGCAGCATGGCTCCAGATCCCACTCCTGAGTGCCACTGTACTCAGTGGGACTCTAGCTTTGAGAGCCACAGCTCCCTTATTTGGAAAACAGGGCTCACTTAGCAATGAGGCAGGGTTGTTAGCTTCCATCCCTATGACTCTAGGTGAGCTCCATGCTACTACGATGAGAAAGAACCCACTCTCTTCACACCAAGTGTCTTCTTACACCACCTTGGCAAAAAAAGTTTAAGAGGGCCAAGTAATTTGATAAGAGTAAGGTTTTGCATAATTTTTACATCTCAGTAAGACCTCTCCTCAAGTTCAAAAAAATTAAGATCTGCATTCCTAAAGAGAAAGTCCAAATTCAGATAATCCTGAGCAAAAATAATTTACATTTAAGAAAAAAAGATTAAATTAGATGGAAGCCAGATGACACATGTGAAGAACACACGTGTACACACTGCTCATGTTGGGAGGTATAGCTATAGCGATTCTCTCTGAAGAACCACTAGAAACTTAGGGATGAAACATAATGAAAGAAGGTACACACACGCCCCGGGGGACAGAAAGCCTTCAGACAGGACAAACTTACCAGCAAAACGGTCAGTAGCCAGAAAGTCCGTCCTGAGGCCGCCTCTGTCAGCCTGCCAGCTTTTGCTGGTGTGGGACAGAAAGAGAGAGGGAACAAGGAGAAAAGTTACTTATCTGCATTTTACAACACAGATCCTTTTACCTCCCAACCAGAAAAATATCAAAATATCATTTACACTTTGGTTACTAATATCAATACTAAGGCAAATTTCTTGGGGGGAAAAAAATGGAAGCTCTGCCCTTAGGCCATTAGCTTCAAACAAAACATATTACAGTAAAACCTGAACAGTCTACAACTTTTAGAGGGCAACTTTTTTAGGCACCTGAGGGAGGACCTGCTCTCTTAAATGCCTTTTTTTTTTTTTTTTGGTGAGGAAGACTGGCTCTGAGCTAACATCCATTGCCAATCCTCTTTTTGCAGAGGAAAATTAGCTCTGAGCTAACATCTGTGCCCACCTTCCTCCATTTTATATATGGGACATTGCCATAGCATGGCTTGATAAGCGGTGCGTAGGTCCATGCCCGGGATCTGAACCCACAAACCCTGGGCTGCCAAAGCAGAGCACATGAACTTAACCACTACGCCACCAGGCCGGCCCCCAAAATTTTTTAATTTAACCATTTTGAAGTAAAATCCTCACAAAATTGGTGGTTTGTTCTCCTGCATGGTTGACTAATTTTTCCTATACTCCTCTTTTCTGACTGCTGAACCAGAAGGAAAAAGGTTCTGTGATATTGTGTTAACAATAGAGAATCGAATGTGGACCTTGGGGGCTCCTGAGCTTTTTAGGGTGACTGAGAGCTACTGTCTTTAAGAATTCTCGTGTATTTTGCAGTTACTATGTTCTTCGTGCTGTTATCCTATAAAAGTCCTTCGGTGCCTTCTAATTCACTGGGGATTTACACACCAGGCCATAAAATAGCAGGGTTGGAAGGAATCTTCAAAGGCCGTCTGGGGAGGGCCAAGAACTACTCAGTGAAGTAAGAGGGTGTGGGTCACCTTGCCTTGGGGGACTTCAGGATAGCAAGGCTGCCAGGTACCTGCCGCTTTACATAAAATACCACACGTCCCCGATAAGGTACGATAAGGTAGACTGCATGACAGGTAGGGCATGTGTCTAAAATGGGAGAACAGTAACAACAACTTTCTGCCTAATTGGAGAATAACATCCCAAAATTCTTGCCCATAGTACGCACAGTTCAGGAGCTAGGAAGACAGTTCCTGGCAGTCAGGGGTGCATCAACAGACTCTACATTTAAAGGGTCTCACTGTCTCAGCCAGGGACATGGACCAGTGGCATTTCAGAATTTTTAAAAATCTCTAAATGCAGGGCTTGAGTCACTCGGGGAAAGTACTACAAGCAAGAAGTCTCTCTGGGGCCCCAGTCCCAACAGATACATGGATGCACCCTGAGACGAAGGAGGAAAGGTGGAGACAAAAGGACCAAGACTATTTTATTTAAGAATATATCTTCAACAATTCTAATCTGCAAGTTTTAAAGATTAAGGCAAGGAAGAAAGAAAACCTTTCCATGAAATCTAAGTATGGAAGTAGCACACGCACACATTGGGTTTGTAAAAAGGTGTAAAAAGTGAGCACTCCTTGGATTCCAAGCATCCAGCCAGTCTACACTTAGCCAGTCTAGGGGCAAGATGGAAGTGTTCCAGATCAAAGCACCGATGGTGAAGCCAGGACCCAGGCATCTACCCTGCCCTCTCCTCACTCAGATAGCCCACTGAGGCTGCACACGCTCTTGCCTGCTGACCTTCCACCTGAACAGCCTCCCACTCCAGGTCATCCCAGGCGCCAATGTCACTTTTTTTTTTTTTTTTATAATTTTATTTTATTTTTTTCCCCCCCAAAGACCCAGTAGATAGTTGTATGTCATAGCTGTACATCCTTCTAGTTGCTGTATGTGGGACGCGGCCTCAGCATGGCCGGAGAAGCGGTGCGTCAGTGCGCGCCCGGGATCCAACCCGGGCCGCCAGCAGCAGAGCGCGCACACTTAACCACTAAGCCACGGGGCCAGCCCAATGTCACTTCTTAAAATCCAGTGACATCTACCCCTTAACAAGCCAGGTTTACCCACATGACCATGACTATGCCCACACCCTCTTCTCTGCACTCTCACAGCCAGTCCTCCTGCTTTCCTGGACAGGGCAAGTCTTCAGTGCCCAGTGACAGCCACAGAACAAGCCTGTGAAGTGGAGTCACTCGCCACGTCTGCTCCAGCCACAGATCTGTGACAAGCTAATCCCCACTCTGCACCTGGTGTCACACACAAGACGAGATAAATTCCTGAAGGTCTCCTCTAAGACAGCTCACACACTTCTCAGAAGTCAATTCCAGCTAGCCCTTCTATTGAACTCCTTGGTCCAAGTGGCTCAAGCGAGGGCTATCAACCTGCTAACATGTCAGAGGAAGAACCTGTTGAAGAACCTTTAACACCCCCACATGCACATAGGCCCTCGGGCAGCTGAGGAAGGAACAGACCTCCAGAAAACTTCAGACTGGTTTGACAGGATACACTGGGTCTCTAGTCTCCAGATTTCAAATGGCAGTTTGTCACAGCTGGAAACGAATGGATCACAACAAGCAACAGATCTAACATCTAGTGTTTTGATATCAGACAAGGTTGTTTTTCTTATAAACTTCTCAAAAGCCCATCTTAAAGAATCCATTTTAAACACGTATCTGATGAGCCACATGTAAATATGCACCTCAGCCCCACCCGAGGCTCTGGGCTAAGATTTTATAGAAGGCCAGTCTCAGCCCCCCTCCCGTGCTCCCAGCCCAACTGTCTACCTGCCACTAGTTGAACAAAGCAGCACCTAAAAAACTGTCCCCCACAGCTCTATGCCCACCCTGACCTGCCACCTACCCAATGGCTCTTGCTGCGCCTTCAGACAACACCCAACAGGCTTATTCTTGCTCCACGGAGATCTTTCAACAACCTCACACAGCGATCAGGGCTGGGTGTGCTCCCCACCCTAGCTCCTGCACTTGCTATCTTAATTTCCCGGGAGACCTTAGATAGGCCCTGTTATCAAACAACAGAGGCCAAACACTTGCTATCGAAGTTCCTCACTTGACCTAATAATACTGCTCAAATCAGGATTGAAAGGGATCTCAGACATCCTCTATTGCAACCATTGAATGCCACCAGGGACAGGAACTGCATGGCCTTCCAAGGGAGGCCACCCTCCACCTCTGCGTAGCTGTTGGAATAGTCAGCCTTATGTTGTGCCAAAATCTACAACTTCTTTCCCCTTCTAGCCAGAGAGAACAAGTCCGCTCTTTCCTACCAGACTCCTTCAGATACTTGAAGCCCTTTCTCCCACCTCCTTCAGTTATTCCCAAGATGACCTCAGGCCCTTCATCATTTTGGTTGCTCTCAACTACCTTCCCCACATGAAGCATTCAAGTCCACCCAACACAAATCTCAAACTATTCTCCACTTGGATTTTAAATCTTCTCAGAGTGTAAAGATGACTTTAAGTCTTCTCAGAGTGTAAATGTCCACAACAAAAAAAAGTCACATCTCAAACTATAACTACGCAGCAAACAGAACTAGAACAAAAGGAAGCAGAGTAGAGAGAAGCCAAGATTCTTCTCTTCCACCCCAGGGAACTGTCAAGCACTCCTGACTTGGGAGAAATGTGAAGTTAGACATATGTGGATTACATCTGAAACTCAGTCCCAACAAATGCACAACAGAAGAGTCTAAAAGCAGAATTTTACTTTTTTGCTTCTAGCATAAGTTGATTCCTGTGTGATGTTCTGCCAAATACATATTCAAAAGGAAAAGTCTTCGCAAAGAGAATTCATGAGTAACAGGCCAGAAAAAATTTTATCTCTGCCAACTAATGAGAATCTCAGTACCTTACGAACTAGACAGGACTGGAGATAGAGGGCATCAAAAAACTCCAGCTGAAACCCAGGATTTCTCCCCCTCTTCTTCCAAAATTAAATTTACTTTTATCCTCACAGCAAGCTTGTAAGGGAAATTTTCTTCAAAGTACTTCTCAAGACCCATAAACCAAACTTGAGAATAAAAATGTAAATTCCCAATCGGCTGAAAGACCACAAAGCATAAATCTAGGAAGGTCCATCGCAGAGGACCGGACGGCTGGTAAGCAAGGGGCGCGCATTTGCGCCTTCCACCAAATTCTGAAGTCGGCACTCATCCCGCAGGAGGAACTCTCGCAGATGCCACCTCAGCAGGCCCTCCCACAGGCCACGCGAGCCCGCGGGCGGGGACAAGCTTAAAGGGGCAGGAACGCGCTCGGCCTCCCCGCCTTTCATCCAAATTGGGTACTTTTCCGTAATGTATTTTTCGTCCGGGACCCTGGGGCACATCCAAGTTGCGCTCCAGCCCCCAACGGGCGGCAGGGCCCGGCTCCGACCACGCAGGCGGGTAGCAGGTGGAGGTGCGCCCGGGCCCGCCAGGCCCCCTCCGCTGTCCCCGCCAGCCAGTCGGCACTACCTTGCTGGACAGACACCGTGCCCCCACTACCGACTCCGAGCTGGGGGAGGGGTGAGCCTGAGGGGGAGGGGGCAGCGGCCTCCGCCAACGTCACCAACCTGGGCCCAGGTCGGCCGCCCCTCCCCCGTGCCGGGACTAGGGGGGCGCAGGGGGAGCGGGACCAGGGGTGGGAGGCTGCCACCACGGGGCGGGAGAGGGGCTGGCGCCGCGGGACTCGGGAAAGTTTCTCACTCTCGGCGTGCCAGCGCCGCGGCCCATGCGCAGTGGTGACACGTAGCCGGCCCCGCCACCCACCGGCGGCCGGGCCCGGGAAGAGGGGGCGCCC